ATTACCATCTACCTGATCAGGTGTTGCCATTCTTGGAGGCTGAACAGCAATCCTAAAAAACATACAAAAATACATAGTTAGCAGCAGTAATAGCCATAGTTGCAATAGCCAACAGCCACAAGTCCACACTTACCTGCAAATATTTCCCTTGAGTTTCGTCAGCTCCGCGCCAAGCCAAGTCTCCAACCAACCTCTCAAAGCAGCATCCGAACTGTCGCGGGTCCTACCTTCCTGCGCTATGAGCTGCTGGAGCTGGTTGTGCTGCGCAATAATCCTTGTCATAATCTCCTCGTTCGTTCGTACCTGCTGTTGCGTTTGCATTGCCGTCACCTGCCGAGACTGATTGGCAATTTGACGAGTGCTTGCCTGGCCGGTCTTTCCCGTAGTGCCACCAGCCGTGCCCACCACCCGCCGCCTCGCCGTAATCCATCGTCTCGATTTCGTTGATGTGGAGCTTGTGTTGTGCGTCCAAATAGAGAGAGGCACTTTCACACAGGTTGACGCCAACAGGAAATCGCTTGATGCGCTCGTACCATCTGGATCCTAACACGAACGGGAGGCTCATCCTCTCCTCCCAAGATTCGTCAAGAGCAGCCCACAAAAGAGGCAGAGCAAGTGAAGCGAAATGCGTTGACACCGTCGTAAAAGCATGGTCCTTGGCACCATGCTCAATCAACCAGCCGGGAGTCACTCTCTTGAATCCGGGTGTAGCTTGTAGCAATAGGAGCCCCCATGCAAAGCTTTTCGGCAACACGGGCGTCTATCCAGGGCTGTTCAGGCAAATGTAGGCATCAACAACCCGTCCAGATAAGCGAGCCTTCCAGCGACCTCGAATGTCAACTTCGTCAGCAGGTAGCACCATCCCTCTTGCCAGAGTTGCAGCAAACTTCCGAATGCTGTGACTCCCAAGAACACCGGCAATGAGGAGCGCCACAGCACAGAAATGGAGCCGACAAAAAGACAGCCTTGAGAATGTTGCGGTAGGCTGCGTTGAGTGCTTGGGAGCCAACTTGGGATGCTTTCGGGAGTAAAGAGAATGCATCTTCCCGACCACGGCGCCATACCCGTAGTTGAGGACGCCTCCATGTAATTCGCCAATCCGAGCATGGCACAAAAGTCGGTATCCATCGACCCAAGAATGATTTGGTCGGGCATTGTCGTTCCAAAATATTCTTGGACCAATTCACCTTGCAACTGAGCGCAAAAGGGAAGTCTGGATGCGGCTTGTAGTCGGAATACTTCAACTTGGAGATGTCGTCGCGTCCTGGTGATGAGATGGACTTGCTGCTTCAACATGCAGGCTGTACGGATGGTCGATTCAAAGCTCCCTTTGCCGTAGAGTTCATGGACCACCTTGCGATACTCTGTTTCCGTCAAATCCCTGGTGGCACAGGACTTCTTGCCGCGGTGTTGAGTCTCCGCTTTCTTGACTTCCTTGACCACTTCGTTCACAGGATCGGACTTGGTTGGATTGCCGGAGGTTCCATTCCATGTGGCACTTTGATGGGCATGTAGAAGGAAATAGCCTTCTTGTCTTGCTCAAGAGTAGAGGAGCGGCAAGTTGGATTCTGCTCGAGGTCTTTGAAGTCAACGTCCGTCGTACCATACGCACGCCATTTCAAGTAGTCGGCAACGTGATGTGGTTGGATGCCCCTCAAAGCACTGGGTTGGAAGCGAGCCGCCTTGGTGTACGTCCTCTTGTGCAGCCAGCTCATGAATTTGACGAAGAGTCGATGGTAATCCCGGTTGTACTTGGGCTGTTCCGTGGGTGCTTCAGGCAAATCTGGCACGTCTTCCAACCCAAAGGCTCCATCATTGGCATTGTTGGCCATGGTGGAGGAATTGTTTGGTCAACTAAGCAATTGTTGGTTGGATGAGTTGGAATTTCGGCAGAGCTTCCTTTATAGAGTAGAAGGATTGAAAATAATGAGCTCTGAAATGAAGAAATGAAGTGCTAGCTAGCTAGCTACCGGTACGGAGACGATCGATCGCACGGGATTTGCACGTTGTTTGCCTCTTTGCTTGAGTATGCGGCAACGACGTACGATTCACTGAGTATACCCTACTGACTGCAATCCTACCGGTAGAGGAACTGAGAGAGCGACCGAATCCAATCGGATCCGATTGGATACCTACTTAAGGCGAAATTGGATCCTCTCAGTATGTGGTTGGTCTTATTGGCCGTCCTTATATCTTCACTGTTGCAGTTTATTTAATATTGGGAGTCTTATTGAGAGGATCTTTGTTTCAATGACTGCCGATACCATAGACTTTCTACCTAGCATACCCTTATGGATCCTGAGGGTATGTAAGATCCACTAAGTAGTAGTGTGAAGCACATACTGAGCCTGTGCAACTACTGTTGCAGAAATGTAGTACCGTAGAGGGTATTAATTGTGGGCAAGCACTGCTCGCAGCAGGCGAAAGGTGACCAGTACATGTATCCCGATTGACATGGCACCAGCCACTGCGTGCTTGGAGCAACTTGGAGTTGGAGCGAAGACCATGAGCCAATGAGGCAAACTCCCCATCGCTGGTCGCTGCATACCACACAAAATGATGAAGGCGACATGACGACTCTACTCTACTCTACTCTACTCTACTCGATCGGCTCGACGTGATGTTGCAGCAGCAGGAATAATCTCCAATCCTGTTGTCGACTTATTGGCAGCCTTCGTCGTTCGTTCGATTGACTGACTCTCCTCACTTCCGATCGTTGCCAGCCTCTCCAAATGGATTCGATTCGATTCCTTGCACTCGTCGGGGTCTCTTGAGGCTTTGGCAACAGAGCAGGATGAAGACAATAAAAGTGACAATAGATGTAGTCGTCATCGATTATGTGAGGGATAAGACAGTATGATCTATTTGTTACTGTTTGGTAGCAGTCCTTATAGCAGTAAAACCGAGGTGCTGTTCGAAGCTCCGCCTTCAGTACAGAGGTTGACTCCCCAGTCAACCTAAGCACCGATCGCCAACAAACTCGGAGAGGGGTAGCCGTGAAGCCAATGAACGAGAGTTGGTGTTAAAATGATGGCATAGCAGTACAGGCGGTGCGGTGATCACAGTCGGCCTTAATACGGAGTTGATAAGCCGCGTATCTTCCGAATCAACTGCAGCGGTTGTATTGCAGCTGCGGGAACTACGAGTGCATGTAGTGCATCGCATCGACAACCTTCTTTCAACCTCACAGAGCGAGGTTGACCTTATCTATACAGTACGGTAGCAAACGAACAGAGCTCGGTCTTCGGCCTCGCAATCCTTCAGAATCCCAAGTCGTGTTTATCACTGAAAGCAGCCAAACCCAGTACTAGAGTGAAACGCCACGATTGTGTGTTGGCAATGAAATCGCGCCGTGGCAGCAAAAGTTGTGGGAACCAGCCAATCCTCGTGGGTTGAGCATCTCTAATCCTTTACCAGGATTTGTGTTCATTTACTGCAATATGATTTGTAGGATTCTTCATGAGCAAAGCAATGCATCCGCAGAAGAAGGAGAATTCCCAAGAAGACAGAATATCAATTTATGCTAAAGGGTGTCACCTCTTCCCACGGCCCCATGACAAGACCGATAGCAGCGAGTTGCGCTTGTTCACTTGTCAACGCCCAGCACAACACACAGCTCAAGGCCAAGGCCAAGGCCCAGCAAAACTAGATCAGGAATGTCTTTCTCTCCAGCCAGCCATGTATCCCTGTGCAATCAACAGCGGCACTTACAAAGGCAATAATATGCAAAGGTGGTGAAGGGATGGCAAAGAGACGGCGTCTGTTGGAAGGTTTCATTAACCCAGCAAGAATCGTCTTGTTCCTCACGAAAATTTTTGCTGAAATTGAATACTTTCAAGGTGGAGGTACCATTGGTCTCGAGAAAGCTGACGAACTCCTGTGGAATTGTGCCCGTGAGTCTGTTCTCCTGTACCAGGAAGTGAGTGAGGTGGGGCAGGGCTGCAATCTCAGATGGAACTAGGCCTGAAAGACTGTTGTTATATAGCTCTACTGAGATCACAGATGACATCAAACCAAGTTCAGTTGGTATGGAAGAGTCCAATTGATTGTCATTGAGACGAAACTGCTGAAGATTTGAATTCAGCATTCCGAGTTCAGAAGGAATCTATAACAAGAATCGCAGGTTGGTATCCACACACCGTGCTTCTTGCTTGCAAGATTGATGAGAACTTACTGGTCCTTGAAAAAGATTTGTATTCAAATAGAAATCGGAGGTCAAATTGAGAAGACCCAATTCCGTCGGCAATGTACCTGTGATAAAGAGAAACAGTTTGGTGAGTTGGAATACATGGAATTGTTCCAATGAAAGGATTGTAATCCATCCAAAACAATGTACCTGTCAAGAGGCTATGCCAAAGCACAGCCCACTCAAGGTCTTGAAGCAAGCCAATGTCGGATGCCAAAGTCCCAGTCAGGCTGCTGCTACCCAAGTAAATCATCTGAAGATTGGTGAGTTGGAACAGTTCTATTGGAATGGTGCCTGAGAAGTCATTTGCCTCCAACAATAACGTGTCCACTTTGGAAAGCATACCAATCTCAGTAGGAAGTGCCCCAGTCAGCTGAGTTTTCTCACTGAGAAAGAAGGCAAGAGTGTCACTCAACATCCCAATCTCAGTGGGGAGAGTCCCCGTGACATCAGTGAAGCTGAAGATTGCTGCTTCCAAATCCTGCAACTGACCAATCTGCGAGGATATGGGCCCATCAAGCATATTGGCGAAGAGACTCATTGTCTCTAAATTTGTCAGCCAGTAGATTTCTTCTGGCAGCTGGCCTTCCAAGCTGTTCATGTGAAACCATAGCTGTTTGTAGGAACCTTCAGCTGGGTCCTCAATCAAGTTCATTGCCTCCATAGTGTCAGTTGCGCTTGTATCAATGATTTGTAGATGACATGGATTCTGATACTCCCCTCTGAAATGGTTGTCACCTGACCCAGGGAGAGGAAAGGGAATGGATCCACTTGCATACCAGAAACACTCGTGGTGGCTATAACTCAGCCAGTTATCAGAGTTTGTCCAGTTGAAGCCATCAGTAGAGTGAAACAGTGTCACCAGGGCAAACCGCTGCTTCACCCTCCATTCCAGATCAACATATTCCATTAAATCTGGATCATCCAATAGCCAATCCAATGCTTTGGATTGTGGAGACTCTGGGACCTCCAATGCCCAGATAGTGTAGTTTGGGAAGTAGCTCAGGAGCTGTTCAAAGATAGGAGATGCACTGGGCGGCATGCTAGAGTCCATAGGGGCATCTTCTTTGTTGGGTTCGACAGGTTCGATGGCTGGCAAAGCATCATTTCCGTCATCAGTTTTCCCCAACAGGACCACAAGTAGCACAACGAGAACAACCAGACAGATGCCGTATCCAAGAAACAATACAATCCGCTTATTTGACTCTTTGGTTTGTGCGGTCCTTTTCTGGGACTCTCTATTCTCATTATACTCTTCTGCTTGTGGCAGGCTTCTTGGATCTTCTGGATCGTCCTGCACCTCTCTTGCAACTGCCAAACCTGAGTTGTCCTGCTCCTGTGGCGGTGGGCCAATGTCCTGCCTGGTTTCTTCCGTAATTATCTCAGCATCATTGTGGTCAGGCTGTATTGGTGCAAAGGCATAAGCTCCTGGTTCCGCAAGGTCTTGTGATTCTTCAATGGTTGGTTGAGGAGGGGTTCGTGGGTTCTCGGTGGCCTCACTTTGTGATGGTTGGCTGGTTGGGTTAACATTGGCAAGGTGCCCTTGTTGTAGCTTCTGGTCCAACATCCGCATGTCATTGTCAGTTCCATGATATCCTTGTTGTAGCTTCTGATCAAACCTTAGCATGTCAGCCTCATTCATATCATGACCAGGTCCATGATATCCCTGCTGTAGCTTTCGATCAATCCTTAGCATGTCAGCCTCATTCATGCCACTGCAAGTTCCATGGGAGCCTTGCTGTGCAGAATGCACTTCCTTTTGCTGCTGGCCTTTTCCTTCTTGTATCATCGTGTTTGTCGTGTCGTCAGCATTGGTAATGGATGTGGTCTTTTGATTATTCATTAAGAAGGACGAGATCTTTTCCTCTGTTCTGTGAGCTTCAATCCTCGCAGCCACAACGTCCAGCATGTTGATTTCTTCATCGTCCGAGGGGGTCACTTCTTTTGGATTGGATTGGGTGTCGCCTTCCTCCGACACCAGATCGGACGTGGCCACATTCCTCTGATTATTCACTAAGAAGGACGGCATCTCTTCCTCAGTTCTGTGAGCTTCAATCCTGGCAGCCACAACGGCCAGCAAGTTGATTTCTTCATCGTCGGAGGGAGTCACTTCTTCTGGATTGGATTGGGTGTTTCCTTCTTCCGACGAAAGATCGTCAGACGACTTCTTCATGGTTGCCACAAACTTTATTTGATGTTGATATTCACCGGCGATCGGTACCTGGTACAGTAGCTTCTTGAACCAGATAGATGAACTAGTCTCTGTATGTGAAATCTGAATGAGCTCTTTGAACAAAAGTGGGAGGAGAGTGCGATGAGTGGACTCCACAGACCGGTTGCACCGCGATGGCTTCCCTTTAAAAAGGCAAAAGCTGCAAGGGGGTGTTCTCGGCTCCCAACTGGCTTCCGCAGAGGACTTCTCTGCTCTTTTACCCTTACCGTATTACCAATATACAACTGTAGTCACATAGTAGAGAGTATGTGGAAAGGGGGAGTTGTATCCACTGGTGGGACTTACCCTGTAGTCATAGTAGATATTTCGCCCCTACTTATGCTTAAGTATGGGTATCCTTTATTGGGGTATGGTAATACGATAAGATTTGCGAGGGTATTCTGCTGGGGAAAACCAGTCATTTGAGGGTATCCGATACTACTGAAAATCGCATTGGTAGTTGCATCGGCAACCCCAAAATACAACTTTTGCCTAAGTATCTTTTTGGCAATCGTGCATAAAATACAACCCAGTCACACAAAATCGAACTCATCGTTCCGCGAAACTCAAAGACTTAACAATCCGGAACCTCTGTCATTGCACAAAGTGAGGGTAAACCTCCCAAGATCCGCTCGATCCAACTGCCGTATCCCGTAGTACACAGATTTACATGCCGACTTGGCCGTTGGATTGGAGGCTGGAAGGAGTACCTCCGATCGATATCATTCTTCATTCTTCATAAATTTGGAGATCGCTACTTGATAAGCGAAAGCTCTTGCTATTTTGTTACCGAAGCAAGTCGCTCTTTTGTTAACTCGCTCTTTTGTTACTCAACTCGCTGAATTGTCGACCATGGCGAGGAAGCGCAAGTCACTTGATCAGCAGTACCGGCCAGCCCTTGTCAGGTTTATGGGTTGGAAGCACGGCCGTCACTATGATAGCAAGAGGAACTTTACACAGGTACGTTGCTTCCTGCTTCCCTCCTTCGCCAAATCTGTCATTTCGGTCGCTCCACGATTCTGCCGCTCACTCACACCATGGTTGCTTTTCTTCATTTTTCTAGGACCAGCTCCTTGCCATTACACCCACTGATGTCGCCCGGTTCATGAACTTCCTTGCCTATGGGAAGACCAACCCTGGTCCCAATGATCGTCCCACCCAAAAGAGATCTTCCACTCTTGAACAGTACAAGAAGGCCATCAGCCACTTCCATCCCAACAGGCATGCACCATGGGCGGTTGGTCCCAATGTTGGGAATCCAACTCGCTCCACGAACGTCAATGAAGTGATCAAAGCCGTGAAGAAGGCGGAGGTCAGGAAGCAGGGAAGGAAATCCAATGTCAAGCGAGATCTCAAGCTTCGAGAATTCCGCAAGACCATTCGGATCCTGGAGCGTGATGGAGGTGCCAACATTGACCTCACGATCAAGACTCCAACCATGATGAAGGTTCAGTTCCACATGATTGGTCGAACTGATGATCTGACGAACATGGAGACATTGGACTTCCGAAGCCACGCCAAGTTTCCAAACATCGCTCTCCAAACCAAGGTATCCTGGAGCAAGAACGTCCAGGAGGAGCGCGATTGTCCTGACCAAATTTTGCTGGGTGCCGCTGACCCTGACTTTTGCGTCCTGATTGCCTTGGCTATTTGGATCGAGACTCGGCTTGAGAGGGGACACGGTGATCCCAAGTTTCTGTTTGGCCATTACCGTGTCGACGATGAAGAAGCGTTCCTTGCCGCCATTGAGGCTCTGGACAACGACGAAGAGCTCGACGAGACCAACATTGAGACGGAGCCAGATCGAGTCAACGCCTGGTACCAACGCGTCTTGAAGAGGCTTGGAAAGACCCTGAGTTCGTGGAGCTGGCCAAGCAAGTGCAGGGTAGCCTTGGTACCCACAGTCTTCGAAAGCTGCCTCCAACCTATGCAGCCGAGTGTGGCATCACCCAAGCCGAGAATGAGGCTCGTGGTCGCTGGAAGGGCGAGAAGAATGGCCATATTGTCCATGTCTACATTGGACTGGAACAGTTGCCGACCGAGCCAAGGTTGCGGGAACTCTTGCTGTTGGAGGCCCCGTCAAGTACTCGATCAAGATTGACAGCGGTGTTGATCATGGGTTCATTGGCGAGCATGTCTGTCCCTCCATATGTGACTTCTTTGCCGACGACCCATCCAACAACCTTCCGATGGTACTTGGCCCTGCCTTGCTTTGGGCTGCGATGGAACCTGGCTTGGAGCATATGATGCCAGCAGACATTCGCAACCGCATCCAGACCGAGTATGCCCAGCTTCGGACCACTTTGGATGAGGATCCTGGGGCCGACTACAACCCAGTCGCCAAGATCCCTCTGACAATCTACAAGGTAGCCAATGCATTGCACATTACTGAGTTGGCTCCCACCGCCCAGGTCGAAGCTGGTGCTGAGCCCTTGGTTGGAGGTGCTCCTGGTGGTGTCAACATGGAACAGCTCAACCAATTGCTTGCTCTCCAACATAGGACTCAGCAGGCAATCGAGGAGGCCCAGCAGATTCTTGCACAGGACATCAGCTCCTTGAGGGGCTATGTCTCGACCAACATGGCCATCGTGAACAAGAACATTGGGAGGATCAACCACTTCCAGTTGATCGCGAGGGGAGGTGGTGGTGGTGCTCCAAGGCTTCCGCTTCCTGGTGCGCCCGGTGCTGCGGGAGCTGGCGTTGGTGGTGGTACTGCGGGAGCTGGCGGCGGTGGTGCTGCTGCAGCGGGCGGAGGACTTCCCCCACCACCACCGAGGAGTCCTGGGCGTTTGGCTCAAACTCCTGCCGCAAGGGCCCCTACAACTGCTACCCTGCCAGCGCAGCTTGCGAAGAAGCCTTTCAACCTCTACGAGTTGTGGGACGAGTGGATCAAGGGCCTGAACGGGAACAAGGCCGCATGCGAGTTTACTGCTCGTGAGCGCGGCCGCGTCAAGGACAAGTTCTGCCGCCGCAAGCATGTGTGGGACTGTGTGATTCGGTTGATGGCGAAGGGCTTCGATTGGAGGGCTGCGGTCGACCGTATCTATGCCACCTACGGGTGGCTTACGGTCACCCAGATCATCAACAAGTTCAAGCATGACAAGAAGAATCAGCCCACCGGTTTCCACCCACGCTTGCGTTGAGCTGCCTTGGTGGTCCCCAGCCTACAGCGCGATCCTGCTGTAGGCTTAGCAAAAACAAATTTTATGTGTTAAGAAATTTTAGTGTTAAGAAATTATCGGTTTCTTGTTGTGTTTTGTTATCTTGTTTGTGATCTGCTGGATTTCCTCTTTGCCGTTCTGACTTAGCGATTTTCGAGGACTTTGCGTTTTTCACGTGCTTTTCCTCTGCTGATGGACTTTGCGATCTTTTGCCTGGAAATCTTCTTCTTCTTGCCTCAGCGACATCTGTTCAGTGATCGATCGATCGCATGCGTCAGTGTGTTTGCGAAAGCCTTCGTTCATACCAGTATCGATGTTCCAGCGAGCCAGTCGGTCGTTCGATGTTCCAGTCAGCGAGAAAGGTAGAAACACCCAAAACAAAGGGAAAGACAGGGTAACACGTAGAGCCTGGTACTCCATGTACACGGTTGTATTCCCAGTTTCATGGGGAGCAGATACCTTTACCGTACCCTACCGGTACACCGTAAACCGGTAGCGCTATTAAATACACAGCTGTCCCAGACAAAGCCAATTGAATCATTCACTGGAAAGTTACCGTCGGAGATTCGAGAACAGGAGACTTATTGACTTATTGGTCCGCTCCCTTTGCTTAGCCTAGCCACACGTTGCTCGACCTTATGCCATACTCGCAGCGAGTGACACGTGTGCACTTCAGCCAGTTTTTACGACCAAAGGTTCCAACGTTCCAACAGCTGTTCTCTCAGTGTTCCATCCCGTTCGGTGTCATTTTGTGAAACATAAAATCCACAACTAAGCCTTAAAAGAAACAGTTCCAAGAACCCACACCACAGGCGGGTAGCTACCGGTAGGAGCAATACGATTGCTTCACAGCTACCACTGGTACTAGCTAGCTACTGGTAGGTGGTACAAAGATGCATCGACGGACATACCGGTACCGGTACGAGCTAGAAGAACTGTTCACGAGAGCGCCAAAGAGATGAACCGCTCCTTTTCTCACTGACCGCAATGGCACCGTAAAGGTATCAATGCAGCATTGTTCTGCAGGGTCTCCACTAGTCCTACCAGTAAGAAGAAAGCTCTAGATACGGAAAGACAAGGTTTTCAAACTAAGGGGAGCTCGTAGGTTATTGTCTTTACAACACCAATGAAGCTGCAACCCACACTAATCAATTGACGGATTGAGAGGAGCTCTCGGAAAGCTGCAAGCCGAGCGCAGTTTTCTTAAATTCCTCCTTAACTTCTTCGGCTCCTTTTCGCTCAGCTTCCACGAGTTCTTTTGCATGGCGTGTTTTCATGTCGGCAATCTGATTCTTGTGCTCTTCTTCCATCTTCTGGATTTCTTGTGCATGCTCAGTTTTGAGCTGTTCCTTGTCCGCCCCACAGATATCCGCCTGACTCATCAGCTCCTCGAATGCGATATTACAGTCCATGGCTTGTCGTTCAAAGTGCGAAGCATTTCCCGCCGCGCTCTCGTAGTCATTCGACAAATATTTGATCCGGGTATTGAAGGTTGCATTACTCGCTTGGAACTGGGTAGTTAGGTCACGAATCGATGCAGCGCATGAATCCACAGTTCCGTCGACATATGCCTGCTTGCTGTTCAATTGCTCGTCAAACGCTTTTCGGTCTTCAGCCATTATATCGCGTTGCTTTTTGTTAAATTTGGTCTTTTGCAACACCTGTCTCTCGAGGACGGGTAGAGACTTGGTCAAGCATGTGTTGCCCTCGGCCAACTTCGAAGTCTTCTCAATGCGACAATGCTCTCGTTCGTCATTCGTCAATGTCTCCTTCTCTTCATTACAGCGCGCTCGGTTTGACGCCGCATTCTCCTCATAGCGCTTTCGATCCGCCGCAACGGTAGATTGCAAATCTTTGTACCCATCGGACAGTTTGTGTTGGGCGTTCGCGCAGGCGGCTCCAGCTCGGGCTACACGGTCCTCGCATTCCTCGATAATTTGATGGCGCAACAACTCGTCGGTGATGTCTTTGAATCCGTCTTGACAGGTGTCTTCCACGAGATCGCTACAAAAGGTGATAGCGACCAATGCAATGAGTAGAAGAAAAGCAAATTCTGCTGTTGCATTCGCAGCAAAGCACCCACCATTTGTCGGCGATGCCCTCATCGAGACTTGGGAGACGCGAGAAGTACAGCTCGTGGCCCGTCCTATCGGTACGTATGCAAGCAAACGAAGGGCAAAATCACCAATTACAGTGACAAAAAAAATCCAAAAATAGTGTGAGAAAAGCGTCGTCAATTACAACTGCAGAAGAAAATCAGAGGGATTACTCACGAAGCGCCAACACCTGTCTCCAGATCTTCGCCGTCACTAATGAAGACACCAGGGGGTTCAATCACGCCGAAAGAAGGACAGAGTGAGAAAAGCGTCGCAATTTGACCTAGCTGGTAGCGCACAGTGCAGCATGATGGACTCACCAACTGCAAGCATCGGCCGACGGCTCCTCCATGGAGTTGGCTCCTCCGTCGCTGCTATCTTCAACGATGAGGGCACGGTGGGGTGCCGAAGCAAGTTCTTCGCCAGCAGAGTATTCAGACACCAACTCTTCGGTTCTTCCATCGAAAGCACAATCAAAGAAGAGCAAATCAACAATGACGTCGACGAACCATGACACGGAGAGTGTGAGAAAGCGTCGTCATTTACAACTGCTGAAGAAAATCAGAGGGATGGACTCACAAAGCGCCAGCACCCGTCGCCGGTTCGCCGTCACTGATGAAGACAACATGGGATTCCGTCACACCGAAAGCGTGAGAAAAGCGTCGTCATTTTCAAATGTGCCAGAAGAAAGTTCAGAGCCATGGACTTACAAACCGACTGCAGCGGCAGAAGAATCGTCGCCGCTGACGAACTTCTGCTCGGTACCGACGCGGTCCGTCCTAAGAAAAGGGGAGAGAAAAATCAGCAATGACGATGAACAAATCCACAATGACAAGGAGAGCCAGAAAGCAAAGCGACACGGATCCAGCGGACAAATCGGAGAGATGGACTTACATGGCGGCCGACGGCCCGTCGACAATACCGGCTTCTCCACCGACAAAATTTGGTTCGGCTCCACCGACAGCGACGTCAACCACAAACGCATCAACACCAACTAAGTCTTGAGTCTCGTGGAGACCCATGTTTGACCCTGCAGAAGGGTCCGTGCCAGTGACACCGACGGCTGCTGCCAGCATGGCGGCTACTACGAAAGTAACAAATGAAACCTTCATGGTAAGGGAAAAATCGACAACGGAAGAAGAAAAACAAAGATGCTGAAGGAAAAAAGTGGCAACGCTCAATCTGAAGCAAAATGTAGCTCGACTCGGTTCTGGCCTGAGAACACTCAAACCGACAGCGAAAACCAGAGTTGCCTTGCCCAAAACCCTAATGGAGAATCAATCACAAACTCCCTACAAACTAACCACCACCCGAGCCTTTCTGTTCACCCTTCACCAACCCCTTCTCCCGACTACGACTGTACCGCAAACCAACGAGGCTTGATCGTGATGAGGCAACATCATCTCGCAAACCCTATCATGAGGCAACAGCACCCACCCAAACCCCTGAGGCAACAACATCATGTTGTTTTGCGAATTGAGTGAGTGGCCAAGTCGAAGTCACTAGCTAGGGAATACGGGTAGGGAACTGCCATGCTGCCATAAAAATTGGCACCACGCACTTTTGCTCGGAAGATCCTTCACAGGGCGATCGCAAACTCCTCACAAATGTTTGTCCAGTGGTTGCCTCCAGAGCTAGCTAGCTAGTACAGTCGTACCTGGTAGTGCATGGCCATTGGATACTCGAGTATGAATTTCGTATGAAACACTAAATGTGTCTTCAGAACCAGGTATGCATAGCTAGGTTGCTTGGGGGCATGAGTTGGAAGGAGCCATTCAAGATTGATCTCTTCTTACAAGCAGCCCAAGAACCAAGAAAGCGTTCATTCTCCAACCTTTCTGCTAGAGTCTAGCTAGGTATGAGTACTTGGTTCCCTGATTCACAAGCTCGAGGAAACTCGTGTCGCAGCATTACTTTTTTAAAACTAAAATAAATGTTTCGACTAAGTTAGACCCCGGTCAACAGTGTTGTAAACGACTGGAAGGAAATTCGGTGGCCCGACCGATGGTCTCGAAGCTAAACAAGCTGTATTCAACAGAACCATATCGTCGTTGAATCCACTGTACAGTATCCGAGACGAAAACTCTGGCCGTGCCCTCCATCAGTAGTAGCTAGCTAGCTAGCTAGTGGCAACACATAACTCATCTTTTATTACTAAACAAGAAGTCACAGCTAATTCAGCAAGCAAGGAGGGAAGGATGACGACGACAAAAGATGGAGTGGGTCCACCAGACAGCCGTGCACGCAAATGATGGAGGAATGACAGGCAAAACGACACAACATTTCTCTTGGCTCTAATTTGTTAGTCTCTTCCTTCTTCACTAGAAATGATCTCAAACATGGAATGAAGACTTCAAATGGCTGAACATGCAGGTTGTCATCGTGTCACTTCGGCAATGCTATCGTGCACTTTTTAGCTGCCGCTATCATCACTATCGCCACCGCCACAATTGCACGAACAGGGGCAAACAGCGCCACAGCAGTACAGATCACAACACTTGCAGGTGCATTCCTGATTGACTAGATCAACATTGAGATCACCTTCGTCTTCAAAGAGCCAGTAATCAATCAAATGAAGAGCCGCAAGCATGTTGGCCTTTTTCTGAACATCCAAATCCTTGTTGAGGTATAGCGTGAAGTTGTCTTAAAAAAGAAAAAGCACAAAACAAAGAAGGAATCAGCAAAATGGCAAACAAGTTTGGCGGTCTGTGCGAAATTTCCATACCCATTTACTTACCCGCATCCGTTCCAAGTTCCTTTGCGACCTGTGCCAGTCCTTCGGGGCGTTCCTTGACAATTTTGCCCATGTAGTTGCCATTGGCATCTTCTACCTTGAAGGTGTGATCACAGCACATGCCTCCAATGCAGCAGGTAGCTTCGGCAGTAATGGTTGCGAAAGGTTCCGCACCCTCTCGTTCCATGACATTGAGGGTGGGGGACAGCAAACCACCCATCATGGGAGTTTGGATATGACCAATCAAGTGAGAAGGATTGGGTTCGCCATCCGACTTGAGGTCACCTAGAATAAAGGAAAAATAAAAAAATTGAGTATCGTAGAAGGACCAGAAAATCCAAACAAAAATTTCAAAAATTCATGGGTCCTCACCTTGATACACCTTCATTTCCTGCTGACAGATATCGGCACAAGCACAACAGCAAGGTCCTCCGCATTTGCAGGGACGGTCCATGTACATGAGTTCCGTCTCCATATCCTCTGGTTTGAACACGTGAAGCTTGAGGGCGTGATTTGGTCGACAGCAGACTCGGCCCGTAAATCCACAGTAATCAGACGTCTCCATGACCCTGAACTTGTGATTTCCACCGCCACCATCATCAGCGTAGATGTTGTATTCGTTCGCCATCTCTCCAAACGCACCGAGACCATCCAGGCCAACTGCGTTGGCGGCGGCATTTGCGGCAGCTTCAAGCAACTCCACCTTTTGCTTGATGATCAACCGCTCAGTGTCATGCAGAGCATCTAGTAAGGTTGGGTCGGTCTCCGGCATCTTGATGATACAATATACAAGTAATCCAATTGAGATCTGTCGTTCTTCTTCGTTGCTGCTAACACAAGCTAGCTACGGTACGGGTAGTGAGTATGGTACGTGCTGGTACCGGTAGCTGACCTATTAATAATGTAGCAGGTCCATGTACACGTGCTAGCTAGTAGTACTGGTAGTGAGAACAAGGCAGCAGTTGACACGAAAGATTTTGGTATTCGGCACCAAGATTTTTGCCGCCATTTCTAACCGCCAGAACCGTTGGCAACCTCTAAGTGACCCATAATCGATAACCTTCCAGACTTTAGCCTGTTAGGCTGGTTTGCACTGGTATTCCCCGTACCATATCCCAACTACCTTCATCCTGGCAACCACAGAAAGAAATCTAGATGCGGTACCGTTATGGGTTTCTAGCTCTAGTAGTTTCAAAGAGTCGAGTCTTCTGGACTCCATGACCCACACAGTCACCCTGACAACATCAATGACGAAGTCTTCAGCTTCCTTGTCAGGGAAAGGAGGGTTGTCGCATGGTGGAAAATGGCCACGGTTGTCGCGAGGTAGCCATCGAGAGGTTTTATTTTACCAGCCAAAGATTATTTGGGCATTGAAGTGAGGTGATAATCAATGTCTGGGTTAGCTAGTAACTATCATAGGTCGCTACCGGTAATGGAACGGAATGTTCGGTTCATAGTCATGCTACGGTACTAAAGTTTTACTGTGCTGAGTTCAAGATATGCTTGAGTCTCCTTCTCTGAATTTGATCGACGTAAAGATGAGGTGGCGGGTGCTGCGATTGTCACATTGGACACGTCCGCTTGCTGGGCCCTGCAGCAAACATACACAATGCCTTCGAATGGAGCGACACGCACGACCTCGAACTAGGTCGCATCGGCGTGGATGTTGGCTCCATTCTGAAGAGCCATGAACTTCTGCGCCATTTTGCCTGCGAATGCACTCACAGCCTCGAAACATACCAAACCGGCCTTCTCGGAGGTCATCCAAGCACGCTTGTTCAGAAATCAAGCTAAGGTCTTTGCGTGTGTAGTAATTTAACCGTCCAATGCAGTAGCTATCGTCTATAACACTGAAAGACAAGAGCAAGAGCAACAATGATGATGAGATCACTTGTTGTCAATCATAAGGCTATTGACGATTCAGAGCAAACACCGTACGTACCACATCTTTTCAAGTTCACGGATAATCTCGATGGCGCCGTCAATGTTGGCATTCAAATGAGCGGTCAAGTCAGCATCTTCTGCCAATAGGAAGACTCCTCCGTCTTCTGGTGGACTACTTCTCGAAGAGCTTCAACGTCATCGGTGGCTGCATTTTAGCTGTTTTTCCAAACCAACACATCTGCAGTGGCGTTGTTGAATGCATTTGTCAAGTTCTCGAGGAGTCTGCCTTTCTGATTTAGTGAGGTTTGGAAGTGGTCCACCACTTTTTCTATTCCTTCAGACAATTTCTCAGCAGCAAGATTGATCAACAAATCAATAGCGTTGAATGCATCTGTAAGCTTTTGCTGCTCCAATTCGACTCGTAGCAAATTGGTAACATGTCCTTCATCCACCAATTTTGCATTGCACTCGGGCGACTCATCCTGGCAGGTTTGGCACTGCGCCGACTCCAAGGTGTTTTCCATCGCCGCCCGAAGACTCTGGTTCTCAGTAGCAAGGGTTTCACATTTGGTGCTGGCATATGCGCACCCTTGGGTCACTGCCTTTGCGCAAGCTGCGATGCCTCCCCAGCGAACTTCGCTGGCGCCAATGGAATCAAACGCCGATATGCAAACTTCGATAGGTTGAATATCACTATGAGAAAGGCACACGGTGGTAAGAGCGAGAGAGAGGGAAGCAGGAGGCGGTGCGGTTGATCGTCAGCGGAAGGAACTCACCACTGTTTCTCCTTTGGATCCTTCAGGCCGCTGGTCGCATCTTCGTCATTGGCGACATGATCTTTTGTTGTTGTTGTTCTTGTTGAGAGAAACGGGTGTGTCGGAAGCTCCGTCGTCGGTAGAGGAAGGGGACGTTCCGTCCAAGCCTGCGGTCTCGGAGGGCGTAAAGGTGACAAAGCGGATTGCTCCGTCTCCAGCATTGGCACCGCCGTCGACGCCAAAGACTTCACCATGGTCTTCCTTGTTGAGGCCACCCGAGTGCGCCGAGGCCAATCCGGAGCTGGCAAGGACACAGATGAGGCCAGTGAACGCTGCGAAAAGAATCTTCATCATGTCGGTGACCCACGGTTGAAAGAGAGAAGAGAGGATTTCCAACGAGAGACGAAATTATGAAGTGAAAGCAGTCAACAGCGGTTTGATCTTTCGTGCCAATTTATCCCTTTCCCTAATGCTGGAGGCGCCAAAAAACAAAGAGATCCGAGAAGTCTTCTCCAATGTCTCGTTCTCGAGTCTCGACAACGCTACAGTACCCAACGATCTTTTTCCTTCCCTTCCTTTTCTCTATCATATCGTCAGGATATTGCCATAGTGTATACATTTGGTCGGACAGCGCATGAAGCAATAGATTCTCGGTCCTTTGTGAGCCCTCATTTCGAAAGAGGGTGATTTGGATATCTTTTTGTTGGCTGCTGTTATTTCCCGGAAGCCTTCCTTGGATACTGGTACCGTACCGGACGTCACAAACCCAGGGCGGCATTCACGTTCGCAAGTGCGCCCACAAAACAGTGAATTTTCAGCTTGACAGGAAAGGGCGCTAGTGTTTTGTTGTGCTGGTTTGACTCCGAGGATTTCTCTCGTTAATAAAAGCGAACTCGATGCAATCAGTGGATGATACCGGTAGGTAGGATTGGAAGAAGGTAGATTCACGCAGGTTCTCGTTGGCGTACATTGGCATGTTGTGGATCTATTCTCATTATTTTTCAGTCACAACCAGCTACTCAATTTATTTTTTTAAGAAAGAAAATATTATTGAACCAACATGTCGCTTTCTGCCGCTCACAGTCCGAAACTCGGGATGAGTGGAAGCTTTGGATCGTCCCATTGCTTGACTCAAGCTGAGGAAGCAAACCTGAAGCTTCATCGCAAGACTTATTCCCTGCCCAAGGACGAAAACTCTCCCCTCCTCCCCCCTTCGAAAAAACCGCCGAGCCCTTCGTCTGTCAAGGATATTGAATTGGGGCAGGATTCTCCTCGTCAAAAGAAAGATGCTCGCCTCAGTAAAAGCTTGCTGACAACAATCGTTGTCGTCACGATTGGTTCGTCCCTTCAGTTTGGTTATGGGACCGGAGTCATGAACAACAGCGAGGATATTATCATGGAGTACTTTCAGGACCAAGGCAAAGGGTACGCAGTGATACAATGGAGTACCACTGTATCATGCTACGGCATTGGCGGCCTCGTTGGATCTCTGTTGGGTCCGAAGGTTATTGGTGCCTACTGTGGTCGCAGAGCAACGTTGCTGATCAACAATATTTTCTTGGTCATTTCCAGCCTACTCATTGCGTTGGCTCCTCAATGGTGGTATCAAGCAATTGGAAGGATCTTCGTTGGCATTGTGGCTGGTATTGCCACTGCTGTGGTGCCAACCTATTTCAGTGAAATAAGCCCCATCGCCATTCGAGGAGCGGTCGGGACGATGCACCAGCTGGGAATCACCGTCGGAATTCTTCTTTCTCAAGCTTTGTCGACGCCAAGCCTCAACATGCTAGGCTCGCAAGACAAGTGGCAATGGCTCTTTGCGGTACCAGTCTTTTGTGGGCTGTTGGAAGTCATCGTCTTGCCCTTCTGCCCTGAAAGCCCGAGCTACCTGTATACAACCCAAGGGAAAGAAGCTGCCAGGCAAGCCCTGACCCAACTACAATCCGAAGCTGTGGCGGATGAGTACTTGGGTTATATTGAGGAAGAAATCATGGGCGCCAATAGCGACAACAATGGTGGCATCATGTCCATCAGAGAACTATTTCGGGACCGAAAACTTCGCAAACAGCTGATCGTCGGCATTACAGTCCAGCTCATGATGCAATTCAGGTAAGTCCAGGCAATTGAGTGTAACGCCCATCGCAAAATCAACATTCTGAGTACGTGATGGCAGCATGGCGCTCACATATAGCATTTTCCTCCGTCACCCAACAAGTGGTATTGATGCGGTCTTTTACTATTCCACTTCCGTTTTTAAACAAGCTGGCGTCTCGGATCCAGCCCTTGCCACAACTAGCCTGGGCATCGTCAACGTGATTGTAACCATTTTCGCCGTTAAATTCATGGACTCGGCGGGACGGAAGACTTTGCTGACTTACTCATGGTGCGGTATGTGTGCCAGCTTCATGACGCTGACCGCAAGCTTCATTTTGAAAGAAAACTACAATGTCGATTACATGGATCAACTTTCAGTGATGGCAATGACAGGAGTCATCATCTTCTTTGCCTTTGGACCTGGCTGCGTCGCATGGTTCATCATTGCTGAGATTATACCCTTGTATGCCCGAGATTCCGCCATGGCGTTGGGCATCTTTATCAATTGGGTTGCCAACTGGTTGGTTGCCTTTTCCTTTCCATTGTTGCTGCACTCTACACATCCCTACACTTTCTTGATCTTTGTGGCCTCTACGGGGTATTTCCTATACTTCACGCTTCGATTTGTGCCAGAAACCAAAGGCTTGACGGTCTCCCAGTTGGCTGTGGAGTTTGATGCCATGCCTATGTGGACGTGCTGATTAATTATTAAATCTTTATTATTACATGTAATGGATGCACAACGTTTAGCTAGGATCTTTTGCGTGATAAATATGACATATTGCGCCTCAATTTCTGGCTTTCTTGTCTTCACTTCCTCAACCGAAGCGAGCTACCGTATGAATAGTCCATGTTCCATGTTGCAGTGCTATGCTGGGATAGTTAGCTTTTGTCGAAACAAAGCCTGCAGCTAGATTACCGGTAGACCTGCCTAATAAGGCAGCGCAGTGTTTAAAAAGGGTCATCGAGCAACGTGCGCTTGTATTTGGACGCTCATTCGACACTCGGCAGGTCGGAACGTCGGAACTCGACCGGCAACAACGCAAGGCCAATCCAAAACAAATCTCTTCTTTGCGCATGTACCAAGATGTCATCGCCCGTTCCTCTCTGTCTTCTTCTGCGAGCATTGATATTGATTGATACCTGGTACCCATGTCTGAAGAGCATGGAGGGAAGGAGACGTTAGCAGGATGGATGAGGCTTTGTGGTCAAAAATGGCATGCGAATAGCATCTCGTAGCGTTAGGGCTAACTCAGTTGCCAACCTCAGAGAAATCTTTCTCTCCCACAAATCTATCATCCTCGCTCTCGGGCACCAAAAGCAAAACAATCACAATGAAGATGATGTTCGCTTTCCTCTTTGTCGTCGCTCTGTTCACCGGAGCGTCCTTTAAGGTCAAGCCCTTGAAGACAGTCGCGACCGTCGGTTTGTAAGTTCCTCGCCCTGAATTGTCTAGCTAGCAGGTTTGTAAATGACGACAGACGCTTTCCCACATTTCCGTGTCATTTGTTGATTGATCGTCGTTGTTGATTTTGCTCTTCTTGCCTCTCGGTGTTCCTCATCGTGACGATCCATGGGTGTTCATTGTGACGATCGCAGCGATGGCGAAGAGCCCGGTTGGTGAATGCATCGCTCTGGATTGTCCCTAGTCGACGTCACCTACAACACTTGTCTGACACTCTCCTTGGCTTGTCTCTCTTGATGGCTCGTCCTTGTCATTGTTGACTTCGCACTCTCCAAGCAAACTGAAGGCGGAAGCAACCGAGTTCAAACGGAGACTCCATGTGTGCCATAAACATCTTGATCTCATTTACAACGACAGCGCAATCATTGAGAAAGAAAACAGCGAGCTCATTGAGGACAATTCTGGGTTGCAAGAGCAGCTGAACGAAGCTAGAGCAAGTCTAAGTTCTTGCGAAGATAGGACGGCACGAGCCTACGGCAAACTGATTGTCACCCTTGAAGCGCCGGTCCCAACCTCTGACGAGGCAATTGCGAAGATGCGGTGAGTCCTGGTTCCTCACCGCGTTTGGAATCATCGCTGACCAACAAGAGAATGGCCGACATTTGTCTCTCACTGCTACTGTTTCTCTGACATTTTGCTTGGCTTGGCTTCGAGCAGCATCCATTTCGATCCACAGAAATGCCAAGGCATGTATGACCACGTTGTTGAAGACGACAATCTACGACTGTGCATTTTATCCACCCCCGTGTGTCTCAGAGACTACGACACATCCAAAGCTCGCTTCAACGCCTCGGCCAACAAACACGGACATCTGCAGACAGTAGCGGTGCAAGTTCTGGAAGTGAATGGAGCTGCACCAGCGCAAGTCAAAGCCAATCTAGAGACACTGGAGAACTGCCAGGGTACTTCGATTGAAGTATTTGCACTTGCGCCTTGTCCCCAAGGAATCCCCACTACAAACAACAGAGACGCACTGATCAAGGATGCAGCAGAGGAGGAAAAGCAAGAGGCGGCATCGACCATTGCTGGCACCAATGGTGATTCAGTAGCTACGGTATCCAATGAACAAAATGGCACGATCTTGGTGGAGGAACAAGATTTGCACCATGAATTGGTTGCCGTTGCTGTCGCTGGAGACGGAGACGGAATCGTCGCCACCGATATTGTCGACGCTCCGTCTGCGGCCATGATGTAAGTTCATCGCAGCAATTTGTCCGCTGGATCCGTGTCGCTTTGCTTTCTGGCTCTCTTGTGGAGTTGTTGCTGAGTTTTACCTCTCCTTTTTCTTTAGGACTTACGGTGTCGGTTTGTAAGTCCATGACTTTGCTTCTTCTGGTACATTTGAAAATGACGCTTTTCTCACGCTTTCGGTGTGATTGAATCCCCTTGTGTCCTCATCAGTGACGGCGAACATCCGGAGACAGGTGCTGGTGCTTCGTGAGTCCATCCCTCTGAATTTCTTCTGCAGTTGTAAACGACGACGCTTTCTCACACTCTCCCTGTCATTGTTGATTGATCATCGTCGTCGTCGTTACTGTTGATGAGTTAGCGCTAGTGAGGAAAGTGAAGAACTCCATAGTTCTTCCAAAGCATCCGATTTCGTCGACACGCATACTGCGGCACCCCCTAGTATGACGATGGCAGCTTCGGAATCGACTGTGCTTTCGCGAGGCGCAGAAGTTCGAGATTATCGCACAAAGAAGTGGTATATCTTTGCCGGGGCAACGAAATTTATTCATCACCGTTTCTTTCGCCTCTCATCACCATGAACCTTCGCTTCTTTTTGTAGCGACCTCCAGCCAATCAGTTGGGAAAACAAGTTTGATGGCGTCAGTGATGAAGCGGAGCGCATTCTAATCATTGGTGATTGCCAGGATGCTGTGATTGAAGGAGGAACCCCTTGTTTGGTCGCCCATCACCAGGGGATTGATGCTTACAAGCGGCTTGTGAACATTTGTGCCGATGATCGAAAACGTTGCGAGGATTCCAGGGAGGCGGATCGAAAACATTGCGAGGATTCCAGGGAGGCGGATCGACAACACTGGGAGATGGCGCAGAAGAAAGACCGCGACCACTATGAAGCACAGCGAGCTACTTTGATCAACGAACACCAGGCGCAGTTGGAACGTGAGCAGTCTGCAAAATCGGAGGAATGCGAGAAGTGTCTGGTTGCGTTACCCTTGTGCCAAAAGAAGGAGGCGCAGAGATACGCGGCCAACGATTTGCTTCAAGGCAAGATCAACGAAGAGCGGGGGCAGTTTGAAACTCGGTTGGACGGAGCTGCCAAGCAGAACAAAGCTGATGTTGAGGATTTGAAACTTGCGGTTGCACGTGTACATTCTGAATCCCAACAGAATTCGTCAATCTTGGTGCACAAGCTTGGTAATATGACCACTGACTACGAAAACGCCAAACAAAATGCCTCGAAGTGGGAATGCCATGCGACCAAGCTCCAATCAAGTCTAACCGATTCGCAGAATTATCACGAGACTTGTTTGGAAGATGTACGGAATGAGCGGCAGAATGTGCAAGATTGCAAGGCCGAAAACGAACTGCTCAACAAACGGATTCAGCAGCTCGAACGTGAGGCATTGAACCGAAACAATGTCAATGAAGCATTGCGCAACGAGAATGAGGCGCTCAACAAGAAAGTCGCGAAGTTCCAGGAGCAGCAGGAGCATTTGAATGAGGTCATGGCTCGAAACATCTAATCGGTGCGGTTTGCATTCTAGTTCACTACCGTATCTGTGTTGTGGTATCGGGCCCGTCTCCTTGACCTGACGAATAGTACATGAGCAACTCTAACTAGCTACGGTAGTCTAACACGTTGTCTCTAGATTGCCTGGCTATGTACGGTATGGTGCCATTTGCCGACGCATCTTCCTCATCTTCCTCACACATACTCCGCGTAGCCAGACCAAGCCTCCTCCCGTCGACCTATGTGATGGTAATGTTGACTGGTCCTTGCCAATGGCTCAAGACAGCTACTCTGGCTGGTACCGGTACGATTGATTCGTCAGGGTGGTAGCTACCGTAGCAAGCAAGCCATAGCTACCGGTGCCAATAGTAATTTTCCTCTACGGGCGTGTTCGTGCTGCCGGCGATGAATCATCAAGCTAGCAATCTCCCCCCACCTGGTTCCTGGGCTTTCATAACATACGAACATCCAAGCCTGCCTTGCAGACTAGTTAGATCCTGGGTCAGGTCAACAATTTATCCTTTTGCTTCGTCTCGTTTTACTTTTACCCTTTGTCTGTCCTGGACGACAATTGCGAATGAAATCGAATCATTCGAATTCAATCGAATCTTCCATCTTGTGAGCCTTGTTTTCTAGATTTTCCGTGTGCTCAAAGGAACAAAGCAGAGCACGAGATCAGTGCTTCACTCGGACTCGGGAAACAGGCATTGCGTGCTTGTTGTCGCGTTTTCGCAAGCAGATTCATTTCCTCTCGAAACTGTACTCATTCACCACCACTTTCCTGCCCATTCCTTTCTCTCCGGTTTACCACATTTGCGCCAATTCCTTTCTCCGCCGTTCATCTTCTTCAAATCTCTTTCTTTCCGGCTCTAACATCATTCCTAGGAGCCGTTCCATTTCACCGTCGGACGTTCCATCAGATGCTTTCAAGCCAGGATTGAGGTCTCCTGCTCCCAACGTCGGTTCCGCAGCGACGCCCCCTTCTGTTTCTACCGGCCCAACATTGACGCCTGCCTGTCCCGTCGTTGGTTCCACTCTTTGTAGCTCATTGGTAATTTTCGGTGCCGGCTCTTGGACAGGTGGGTTGCCAGGGGTACCTCCAATGCCTCCATAAAAAGCACGCAGGCTTGGGAAAACCAATATCAACCCCAAAGACACGATAACTGGAAAGAGGTGGCGACGCCAGTAACTGGCATTTAGCTGGAACACGTCAGACTTTGCGCCCTTGTTGCAAATTGTTGTGTCTTGCAAACGAGCATCAGCCAGTAGTGCCTGTCCATCTCGACGAAGCATTTGGTCAGCGTCGCCCTCACATGAAAATTCGTCTGCGTCAACGAAGTCGATGTAGTCCTCATTGTCGCCATCTTTTGGGTTGTCGTCCGGCCGTTCCCCAGCATTCGCTTCTTCTTCTGCAAGAAGGTGTGCCTCACGCTGACGTTGCAGGAAGTCCGGCTGTTCCCCAACGTTCGCTTCTTCTTCAAGGCGCTGCAGGAAGCCCAACAACTTTGTAGCAGTTCCGATAAACTTTGTCATGCGAGTCTCCTGATCTATGCGCCACTGCTGCTCTTGATTTTTGGCCTGCTCCAATGCTTCATCCCGCTTCTGCCGGTCGCGAATGTCTGAGATTCCTACCACCGGTGCCAACGATTTGCTGCCCAAACAACGGCTGGCGTCCTCAACAAAATGGATGAAGATTTCTTGTTCTTTCGCGTCTACATTCGCTTTCGCTATCATTTCCTCAGCCGTTTCTCTGACTTCTTTGACAGAGTTCAACGAGGCACACATCCATCGACACAGGTAGGTGTGCAGAGGACTGTCTGGCCACCCGAGACAAAACAATGCCAGCTGTGTCTCACCCTTCTTGGCTATTTTGTCCTCATCAAGTTTCTTACTCGCCCACTTGGAAAGGTCTCCTGTGTCCAAAACTTCATGCAACAACTTCCAGGATTCCTTGGCAAAACCAGTTGGTCGGGCGTCTTCAAATTCCTTTTTTGAGGGTACTTTCTCCTGCTTTTTCATCATTTCCCGATACTCCATGCCCGACTGCAGAACGTGGATTGTCAAAGCCCGAGCAACGTTTTGGATTTTCAGCTCTCCAATCTTCGCGACATTCAACGGTTTGATCTCAAGCTCGGCGCGGATTTCTTTGATTTTTTGGAGTAAATCAATGAGTCTTTGCCGCAAGTCGACCATGGCTCGTTGAAACTCTTCGTTGTTTGTCGTGTCCTCGCAGCGTCCCTCAAAATAGCGCAAGGCCGCAACAAGGCATTCCCCAACCAACCCATTCCTGCTTTCCTTGATACTTGCCCCGACGAATCCGAAGCCGTGACCATTCTGACCAGACTTCCAGGTCAGCTGATTGCCATCTTGCTCCTTGATCTGAACACTCACATCAAGAAACTCACTGATGTTGTTGAACCCTGGCAGGCCAATCAGCCCGATGTTGGGGGTAATCAAGTGTGGCAAGCTTGTGAGGAGAGAATACATGAAAAAACTCTTGAAATATTGTTCTGCAAAATGCTCGCTCTTTCGGTACTGTGAGGGAATCGCACCAGCGAAAAAGGATGAAATCATAATTTGCATTGACGCCCGGGCCAAACAATGGTCTGGAACGCCGCCAAGCTTGGCATTGTCTCGGTCTTCGGCTACATCTCCCACTTCTAAGGGAATCCATTTGTTCAAGAGTTCATTTGGGCTACCTTTCCAGTTCTTGGCCTCTTCACACAGACGGAAATTGATCAAAGTGAGAGACTTGTTGAAATCATCACGGCTGACCGGTTTCCCCCTTTGAGCGCTTGCCATGGTGGAAACGATGAATCGAATCGAATCTTCAATCGTAATGATGAATCGAACGCATGGATCTCCGCCAACACAGGGTCCGCCTTTTGCGCGGTCACGCGCAGGAAGGGAAAAGAAAGAAAAGAAAAAGAGGAGGAGGGGGGACGTACAGACGTCGATAGAATAATCGTGGATCGTCCTTCTTTTTTATCGGTCCCTTTCCCTCAGATTGCTTTCTTTATATCCTTAGCTTTTCCACCCTTTAATTCTCTTACTCACTCGACGGATTTAGCTCATTCCCAGACCTTTATCTCTACTTTAATCTGCACTTGCACGGGTCCTTTCGCATCAAGACTGAAATATTAGACTTAGAGGGTCAAAGTTTGAACCACTCAACGTATTTGGCGCAGAGCCATGGATGGAGGATGGCGCCAAGCTAGCCATCGAAATCAGCCACAATGACACAACACCGCTTGCACCGGAGATAATGGCCACATCAAGTCAATACAGCAGCAGCCAAGGGGCATTCATCAACAAGGTCAGAGAAGAGATTGATCGAGACCAGAGAACCTACTTCAGGGCCCCGCGACAGTGGAATGATATCAAACCAGCTACTGGAAGATTCAATAGCCAGCTTCTTGACAAGACATCATCAAAACAATCAACCCTCGAGGGTTTCTTTCCACGGCCAATCATTGCATGGGTTCCTCACTTGCTATTCAAGAATCATGTTCCTCACTGCCCCCACTGCAAGAAGAATGACATGGTGACGGTCAATCGTTCGCGCTGGATCAATGCCCCAAAGATCTGTTTTGGGATAACACGCTACCGGTACCTGGACACCAAGCTATACCCATGCAGCCGTTGCAAGAGAACGTTTGCTGGCTACAATAAGGCTTCAATGCAGTTGGACGCTACTCTGTACAATGCATTTTTCAACTATTATCTTGGTCATGGTTTCGCATTGGACGCAGAGCTATACCGCCTCATCGTGGATGAATCCTCTACGAACTCCACTGCCGGAATTGCGAATCGTTTGAAGAAGCTGGCATATCATGGTTATTTCGATGATCACCTACTCTATCTTACAGCAGTAGGGCAAGACAAGATCAGGCCCAGAAAGAAACAGCGAACCATCAATGCAGTCATGCAAGGTGCAATGAATCAATACGACAAGGAAAAGGAGAATCTGCAGAGCATTAGGAACGCAGCAGCACGAAATGCTTCTCATGCTCGACTGGCACTTGCAACCGCCCGTGGTCTTCTTGAAAAGGACATTCGATTTGAAACAATGATTGGTGAAAAGGGCAATCACAATGTTCATGGAGATAGGAACGTGCTTCCCGGATTCGGCCCAACCAAGCTGAAAAAGCTGGTCTTCGAGTGCAACATAAACTCCATGTTTGAGCTCCTTGCAGCTGATCCAGAAGAAGTCTTTGCTGTTAATTCCTCGTGCTTGCGGCGATGGCAGGACTGGGTGCACCAGTATTTGGAGGAGAAACAGACCATTGCTGATTGTCGAGAAGAAGAGATGATTGTCGCTGAGCTAGAGCTCGAAACAGCTGAGGGTGCACTCCTTCGTTATCTGGAAAGGTATGCCCACCGTCCCCGCATGAACAATCCTTATTTGCAACAGTCACAAGAACCACCGGACAATACCACACTGCCCTCCTTTTCTCAGTTTTCGAATAAGCAGGCTTACAATGGTCGCTTCCTCACAAAGAGCCGCATTGACTGTGTTGTGACCACGGTCTTCAACCACAGGAAAAAATTCCAAGATGCCAAGATGAAGAAACTGGAAGCAACCATTGTGAAGATTGATTTCAATTACAAGATCGCGAAGAAGATCCATGTGTGGACAAAGCAAGGGAAAAGCTTTCCGCCATTTAATTGCCTGGTCACCATTCAGAACGAAGATGGCCTTACGATCTTTTGGAAAGGATTGAAGCTGAGTGAGTCTTTCTCAGAGATCCGTACTGACATGGTGAGGTTGCGCAAAAGACTGAATCGCAACATGCAAGTGAGAAAGAGGAGATGTCGCTGTGGACCTGCTGAGCAGAGTGTCAAGGTCGTGTATGTGGACAACTGCTGCAATGTGTGCAAGATTCTTAAGGATTGTTTTCCTGGAGCACTCATCAAGTTGGATCCTTTTCACTGGTTAAAGCGATGGAATGACATGGTGAATTCTCCAAGCTCTGCACTTGCCGGAATCCTTCGTGGTCTTATGTCACAAGCGCTCTTTATGGTTAGTCCAGAGGAGTACAAGCGAGCAGAAGGTGTTATGCGTGCCAGGAAAAAGAGGGAACCAACAGTGAAGGAGACTTTGAAAGAAGCCAAGACCGTCATTCCAGAGCCAACCCTTCTTAGACAAAACGTTGAAGCAGTAATTCGCTACATCCAAGCCAAGGACGCAGAGGTGGATTCTGAAATGGCACTGCGCCCAGCAGATGATCCAAGACCACCCTTGAAGAGATTCCTTAAGCGCAATGGTGTCAGAGATGTAATTCGGAAGCAGATGGTCCATGTGGACCGTGGCTGTTTAAGTGACCCAGAGCCAACAGTGGTCAACATCTTCCGCCAGCACCCAACAACCGGCATTGTCTATGTCGCGAGGGGAACCAACACCAATGAGAATGACAACCTCTATTTGGACAAGAACATCTTGACTGCCACACATATCGGTAAGTTGAAGCGCCACTGGTTTCTTTTTCAGAAGTATCAGTTACTCACATTTGAACTTATTTAATAGGAATACATCGCGGAGAACGGTTGCTTTCCGGCTTCTTTGAAGAAAAGAACAATGCCAAATCCATTAAGCGGCTTGGACAAAAGGACTTTGGCACTTGTGAAACAGAGCGCCTAATTCTTTTGAATTGCTATGCCAAATCGGTTGGTTTCAGCGATGACAAGCTTCCTTACAGGGAAGTGGATGCCCCAGCAGTATCCCGCGGGGATTTAGATGAGTTCATTGGCTTTCGATATGAGCTCCCTCCATCAGTTCACGATGTGTCCAACCCTACCGACCCTACAGGAAGAAGCACTGTGTTGACTGCTGAAGACGACGACCAGGAAGAACTTCCAGGATACGATGCTTTTCCTACTGGTGGGCAAGCAGCAGTCACTGATAGTCAGGTGGATTTAACAAACACAGTTGGTGATGACGAAGACGTTGAAGTCTTCGCCAGTGAGGAAGAATACATCGCTTCTACAACCGCCCCCAGACATCGCTTAATTGATGAAGAAGAGCGCCTGGAGTTAACAGCCGACACCGCCGAAAAAAGCGACATGAACAATGATGAGTTCATTAAGGAGCAGTTGAAAATGCTGCTTCCAGACAGTACTGGTCGGGAAACTACACTGCAGGCCTTTAAGCGATTATCCAGTCAGCAACCATGGTTTCCATTCCGCGATCCGTCCAGCTCTACTGATCCTACCGATATTGACATGGAAGAGGCAAGTCTGTTTAACAAATGGATAAGCGAAAGAAATTACAGCCAGGATGCATCTGCTGGACCACGTTCCTTCCACCAATTCGCAGACGACTGGAACAATGAAGCCTCCCGACGATTCACCTGCTGGAGCAAAGGAGAAGCAGTTGTGGAAATAAAGCCCAAGACGAAATTGCTCATACAGCAACACTTTGATAACTTGCGAGAGCATCGCTCCATCCAAGGCATCCTGCCAAGAGAGGATGATGCCGAAAGGGATAATCTGAATGCGACGTTGAGGGCATCTCGAAGGAGTCTTCCGGCAACTGCTGTTCCAGTCAGAGCAAGTGCACCGCGATATGCCAATCAGCAAGATGGTGTCACTCCTTTCGGCAATCCAACCGCGCTGAACGCAGATGTCGCGGTGGGGGCTATTGCTGGAGTCACAAACAGAACAGCCCTTGTTGTAAATGGAGTCCATCACCGACTAGTGCCACATGCCATTGCGCGACCTGTTGCACCACCAACAACAGAACCACCACGGCCTCCTCCAACGAAAGTATTCAGGAGCAGAATGTTTTGTTCCACTTGTGGCCACAAGAAAAGGGAACACGCGCAAGAAGAGCAGCCCGGCAAGAACTGTAACAGAGATTGGTGTGGCAAGTGCCACGAGAGGATGGATTGCCATGGCGAAGATGATGGCTATGGGCCCAACTGTAAGAAGGCGTCACATGAAAAGAGCCACTACAAGAGTTGGTATGAGTACAAACAGGTCGGTTTCTTTTATTTTACTGGTTGACTACTTGGATAACAAACACCAACATTTTCTTTTCTTTTCCTCTTTCAATTTCCAGCACTAGTAACCGGCTCAGGTCCATCTCCAAACATCCAAGGCTGCTCATGAGTTTCAAGGACTCCATTGATGTGGATGTGGTTGATGCACCCTTCCACATACTCATCAGACAAACAGGCAAGCTGCTTGAAAGTCCAGGAGGTCCCATCATTGTAGTTCCTGTCAAAGAAGTCATTCCAAGCTTCACAGATCATCTTCTCCTCACTGGACAACCTACCAAAGGCAGTGACACACATCTCTTTCACAAGCCACCAGATGCACTCTTTGTACATGTTTTTCTCCTCCACAGCCAAAGGATAACTCACAATGTCATTACAGGTGCCAATGACATTCTGGTACCAGTCAACACTCTTCTCAATTCCCCAAAACTGCATGGCCTCAATGATTCCATTCATTTTGGGAGTGACAACTTTGGCCCTTCCACTAATGATGAGCTCCTCAAGGATGGGTGCCTCAAAGCAGGTGACTGGCACACAATACACAGGCAAATGTTCAGTTCGCTCCTGGTGACTCTCCTCCAAGAACACATACTTAAGAGAGATGCTGTTTCGGGTAGCCTTCAACTCATTGAAAGGGTAATGGGGCACAGTTAAAAGAAACTTTGAAAAACCTGCACTAGTGTTGAACCTCATAGTAGTGTAGTTGTTGCCGTTTTATTGACTTTGACGATGTTTTGCTTGAAGCAATGACGACGATAGAGGAACTGGTACCGCTTGGCGCCAAATTGTGAGCTGGTTTCTGACTTGACTTTCTGCACCTCTGCGTTTAACTCTTCCACTATTCCACAAGACTGCAACGGTCACACAGCGACTTTCGAGAGTTAGGCAACAAATTTGAATTTACTGTGGCAAATTGTACTGAGTGTCGATTTACTTAGGTAGAATTAGATATTTGGGTCTGGTATAAAAATTTCAGTACTTTGGCGATAAAACCTATGGAGAGACTCCCCCAACACAGACAAAGATAGTTCGTTTTGGATCTTTCGCTTTCGCTGAGCCGTGCGGAAACAGGATTAAAAAAGCACATGCTATTTAACGACGCCTGCGTGAAATTAACTGCTTTTTTCACCCCAGACTATTTCACGCCAAACTATTATTTTAATAAAAGTTTCATGCAAGTAATAAGAATATACTGTTTCACGCACGATTAAACTTAGTTTCTCGCAGTGGTACTAGATTCACTTTAAGTAAAACTATAGTTATACGCATGTGAAACTAGTACTACTCTAGGGCTAAAGCCCAGTTAATGGCCCCCATGTTGGAAGTTCACGATTCCATTCTCTTATTCTGTATATTATTATTATTATATGCGGGGTCATCAGCAGCAGAACTACTCACTCTTTTCAATAAACTCAACTAGAAAGCTGTTTGTCTTAGCTGTACGTTGTCTTTGTGTTGTTCGCCCAACATTTATTGAAGAGAGTCGAGTGCTGAAGCTATCATACCCTCATAGCATCGACAAGAAAGAAAGGAGGAATTCTGAGCAACAAGGAGCATTGCTGTGATCTTGACAGATAGAAGTCACCTGAGAATATTGCATCAACTGCAATCCGAGACCATTGACGCATTTGAGAAAGAAACAAGAATTGCAGGAGTGCTTGAGATTACCTGGCTGATCACCAGAGTGCACATACTGTGCTGTATCCCAGGAAAATTGGAGTGGCTTCATAGCCGGCTCTAGAAGTGCAGGTTACCCCACCAAGAAGAGTCACGACGGAGAGAAATTATAATACAATCTCATCTACGAACTCACTACATCAATGCAGTCGACGAGGACAACTGTCGACTTGCTACAGGAGGAACAACTACATGTATTGCCAAAGAAAGCAACTAGATAACAAACACCAACAGAAAACAAGGAATTTACTATACGAGGAATCCGAGTTGTTGCCATCGCGCAAGCACGACTCGAAGCTAGCCTACCACTAGAGAACAAGAGATTAACAAACGATCGACGCTACCACTACAACGACACGAAGCCACCGCTACAGCTATAACATCACGCACGACGACTATACCAACAACAACGACGCGAAACGCTCTGTTATCCGTGAAGATATCGATTTTTGCGCGATTTTGTGAGAGGCACGTCTCCCCTGATCCAAGCTGGGTATGAACTCAGGTTGGATTACAAAGAAAGGCTAGAAGAGACGACACAGGAGTATGTTGTAGAGTAGTCGGATAAGGTTGTAGGTATGGGAATACATCAAAAGGATAGGTTGTAGGGCAATTGGAGCCGGTGGTAAAAGAAAATGTGATGGTGGTGTGCCAAAGGATGTAGGCAGCAAAGCAACAGGTAGATGGAAATCACCACCAGGTAAGGTAGTAGTTGGGTCGTCATCAGATAAAGTAGAGAGAGTAGGTTTGATGAAACTAGGGAGGAAGTGATTGACAATACTGATGGTAGCAGGCATGGAAGGTCCAGAGATCCAATCAGGGGTAGCCTCGAGAGTAAAGGGAATTCAAGCAACAGAAGGGGATACGGGAGCTGGAGCAGAGACGAACGAAGGCAGAGCAGAGGCAACTGTAGGTTCTGTAGATACTGTATTAAGATCAACTGTAAAAGCATCGGGAGAAGCTAGTAGATTGTTAATGGAATGGCGAGCATTGACCGTGGGTCGTGGCGTGAACCTGCGATCAGATCACGGGCTAATCAAAATCCTTATTTCAGGACCACGGGCTTTGTGATACTGAGCTCAGCTGCAGTCACGGGCTTTTTATTCTTCGTTCTTACCTGCGATCAGATCACGGGCTAATAACAATCCTTATTTCAGGACCACGGGCTTTGTGATACTGAGCTCAGCTGCAGTTACGGGCTTTTTTTCTTTGTTCTTACCTGCGATCAGATCACGGGCTAATAACAATCCTTATTTCAGGACCACGGGCTTTGGTTGATACTGAGCTCAGCTGCATTACGGGCTTTTTATTCTTCGTTCTTACTTCGATCAGATCACGGGCTAATAAAATCTTTTTTCAGACCACGGGCTTTGTGATACTGAGCTCAGTGCAGTTACGGGCTTTTATTCTCGTTCTTACTGCGATAGATCACGGGCTAATCAAAATCTTATTTAGGACCACGGGCTTTGTGATAGTGAGCTCGGTGCATTTACGGGCTTTTATTCTTCGTTCTTCCTGCGATCAGATCACGGCTAATAAAAATCCTTATTTCAGGACCACGGGCTTTGTGATATGAGCTCGGTGCATTTACGGGCTTTTATTCTTCGTTCTTACCTCGATCAGATCACGGGCTAATCAAAATCTTATTTCAGACCACGGGCTTGTGATAGTGAGCTCAGTGCATTTACGGGCTATTTTATTCTCGTTCTTACCTGCGATAGATCACGGGCTAATCAAAATCTTATTTAGGACCACGGGCTTTGTGATAGTGAGCTCGGTGCATTTACGGGCTTTTATTCTTCGTCTTACCTGATCAGATCACGGGCTAATAAAATCTTATTTAGGACCACGGGCTTTGTGATAGAGCTCGGGTGCATTTACGGCTATTTATTCTTCGTTCTTACCTGCGATCAGATCACGGGCTAATCAAAATCCTTATTTCAGGACCACGGGCTTTGTGATAGTGAGTTCGGGTGCATTTACGGGCTTTGTGATAGTGAGCTCGGGTGCATTTACGGGCTTTTTTTTATTCTTCGTTCTTACCTGCGATCAGATCACGGGCTAATTAAAATCCTTCTTTCAGGACCACGGGCTTTGTGAAGTGAGCTCGGGTGCATTTAGGGCTTTTATTCTTCGTTCTTACCTTCGATCAGATTACGGGCTAGCCAACTAGATACCCTAGGTAACAGGCCATAGCGGAAGGTCTTTAGGATTCTTCCCGGCAATGTAGCATACTGTGGCAGTTTGGGATTCCTCTAGGCTGTGTGGGCGGAGGAAGAGCTTGTGTTCTTTGAGAAAGGGAACCACCCCTTGAATCTTCTTGAGTGCAGGGACGCTGTCGTAATCAGAGCTGTGCACGTAGAAGGAACAGGCAAATCGACGAATATAATCATTGATGGGGCCCCAATCCATCACCGAGGCATTTAGCCACTTCACGAGCTGGTCGCGGGTCATGTTTCCTAGGGAATCCAAGTCAATTCCATTGCCCTCAAAGTCTCCTATCCCTTCATGGTCTTTGAAGGTGATTGTGTACCTGTCATCAGAACACAATAGGGTCAACAACTGCATGACCAGAGGCATAGGCATTGCCGTGGTTGCTGGATTCATTGCCTCAATGCGAACACCAAAGTAGTGTGTCTTGTGGCTCCTTGCACCATCGTTGGCATCCTCAAAGCTTTCCTCGTCGTCATCCCTCATAGTATCTTCATTGTCGCCATCCTGATTGCCATTGGTGTTGGATTCGTCGGTGCTCTCATCTACATCAAGAGCCATGGGATTGGCAGCACCAAGTGAAGCAGTGGCGGCGTCTTGCTTGGACTCTTGAATGGTCATGGTTGCAATGCCTGGGAGTGAGGGAACATCAATATCAGGAGCTGGTTCCAGCAGACCCAAGGACTTTGCTCTGTGATGAATTTCTCGAGGCAATGGACAGTGAGTTCTCTGTAGCTCAAGAAGGGAGTTCCTAACACAGACAGAGGTAGTGTCATTGGCTGGGTTGGTGGGAACAAGAAATGCCAAGTCTGTTTCCAGATAAGTGAGTAGCTTTTCTGGATCAGCCTTCCACCTGCAGAGGAAACACAATGGGTCTTGAGGTCGAGAGATCGAAAGCTGGTGGCAGAAGCAGCTTTGAGGGCTTTGGTGCATCTTAGCAGGAACTGATTGAAATGATGGCTGAAGGACGTCGGGCTGTCCATTGGTTGGAACGCTCTGCGTCGTCAATTGTGCTTTTGCATTGTTTTGTAGATGCTTGATTCCTGCTGCTATCTCTGCTTCCGTAGGAGGGTTGAGAGTATCCTCGATAGTGTGATTGACTGTCCTCGATGAAAGAAGTATGGTAAGTGGTGAAGTCGTTCGTGTATCGGTTGCCAGGGGGGCTTGCAAGGGAATGAATAGTCGACAGGAGTGACAATAGTAGGTAGGAGCTGCTACCTTGTCTTCCTGCCCACCGTGTGGTGAGTCAATCAGAGGCACAACTCGTGGAACCACCAACACGTTACAATTTTGACATACAACCGGCATGGTTAACTCAGTCCGTGGAATATCTTCTTCTTCGCTGTTCGCATAGTCACCACATCGCGAATAGGGTGTAGGACCAGTGTTGAAACCGGGGGAAAAGAGCAGGTCAGTCGGTGCTTCAGCAGATGTACCGACAGCTGCTGAATCAAGTGGCTTTGATTCGAACTCCTCAGCTTCAATAACAACTGGCATTATCTTACAAGGTCTGCGCATGGTCACGGCATCTTCCTCGAAATTTGCACGGGCATCCATTGCTTCGCTTCGCTCGGATACAAGACTTTCGAGACGCATTGCATGATTGCCGTTTGAATCTAGTTCTGGTGCTGGTTTGAGTTCGTGAGCTGTGCTGTGTCTCTTAGTATCAAGATTGATTGCTGCAGCGATTGCCGGTTTGAGAGGGAATTTCTTTTTCTTTTTGGCTGTCATCGTAGGTCGATTGGACATTGTGAGCACATCGGCATCGCCGGGAGTAGCACACTTGAGAGTAGAGGACAGCTCCATTGGTAACCACGCATGGTGTGTTGTTGTCCTGCTAGTCTGTTTACAGTTGTTCTTCGAGGAATTATGCAAGGCCGGCCATGTCGTCTCATTGGCAATATTGAGGGAGGGATTTATAGTTGTTGCCGATCGATTTTTCATCTTCCTTTGTCGTTGCTTCGTCTTTGTAAACGTTGTCTGTCCAGTGAGTTTTCCCGTATCCCAAACAATTGGGGTTGTTTGCTTGTGATTTGACAGGACCGGTGGGAGTGGGAGTGGATGGATTTCGGCTGGTGGCGGCGGGTTGTGGTTCTTGCTTCTTCCAGACTGCAAGGAAGTGCTTACTGACTTATTAGTACTTGAAACGGCACGAGAATTCTTTCGCGGCGGAGTAGTACTGTCCTCAGCAATGGTAGACGTCGTTCCGGTGGTGTCCATAGTTGTTGTGGAAGTATCGTCAGAGATGGAATCATCGTTGTCTTCACGATTTTTGCTCAGCCACGGATCCATGAGTACAGAGAAGCGATTGTAAGTTTGTTTCGGTTCACTAGGACTTGAATGCGCTCCAACCACTGCGCTGGCTCTTGGCGTTGACTTCCTACCGCCTAGAATTGTAGTAAAACCATAGTCATCGTCAAGGGAAGTTGCTCGCTTGTGTTGGTCATTACAGGATAACATGGCGAAATTCTGATCATCGGAGGTGGTTTTCGATGGTTTCTGAACCGAATCCGCTGTCGTGAAGACTGTTCGTTGTTGTACCAACATGCTTCCCTCGCTTCCAGCAATGCTTGGGTGCATATCTCTCTCAGAGCGGCGGCGGAAGGAACTAAAAGACGCCATGGTGGCTCTTTTCCTTTGGAGTGGATAAGAAAACGGCAGTTTCACTATAGAATAAAGAGTACTAAAACTTTTCGTCAGTGTGCTTGCCTAAAGGGTGATTCCAGTTCGCTTGGAGCTGAAATTGTCCATTTTCCTGCATGTACATGTCAACGACTTGGTGTATTCGTCATAAGGATCCAATGCGAGGTAACCGAGTGCAGCGAGCAAAGCCGAACCTGAGTGTGTTTGGTACTGTTGTCACTGTCGCCCAGCCATGTAACTATACGGTAGCTGGCTACATTGGCTGGGTTGACAATATTCGGTTGTGGGTATCTTCATCATAAAGATCCAATGCATCGCGAGCAAAGCCGAATCTGAGTGTGTTTCGTACTGTTGCCCCTGTCGCCGATGTAACTATACGGTAGCCGGCTACATTGGCTGGATTGATAATATTCGGTTTGTGCATGTATTCATCTGAAGGATCCAATGCAAGGTAACCGAGTATAGCTAGCGAGCAAAGCCGAACTTGTTCGGTACTGTTGCCACTGTCGCCCATGTAACTGTACGGTAGCTGGCTACATTGGCTGGATTGATAATATTCGGTTGTGCATGTATTCGTCTGAAGGATCCAATGCAATGTAACCGAGTGTAGCTAGCGAGCAAAGCCGAACCTGAGTGTGTTCGGTACTGTTGCCACTGTCGCCCATCCATGTAACTATGCGGCAGCTCGCTGCATTGGCTGGATTGACAATATTCGGTTGTGCCTGTATTGGTCATAAGGATCCAATGCATAGCGAGCAAAGCCGAACCTGAGTGTGTTCGGTACTGTTGCCACTGTCGCCCATTCATGTAACTATACAGTAGCTGGTGCACTACGCTAAAAGCTAGTGTAAAGATCTTTCGAGTGTTTTGAGTTTGAGAGAATGAAAGTTATGAGAGGATTAGAAAGCTATGAAAACTAATCAACGAGAGAGATCACAATCAAGGGATCGTAGATCTGAACTCCCGCGGGAGACTGTAAAGTGTGATAGAGTAGGTTGTGGTAGTAATCCTACTCGTTCCACGATCCAAAAACGGAACGCGTGGAAGATTCGTCTAACATTTATCTAGTAGCGTGGAATCTCTCCACGCCAGCTAAATATCTAGCGCGATGTTTCACCATCGACCTAGTATGACTAGCGGTCATGAGAACCTTGTCTCAATGACTATTCACAAGAGACTCAGTCATGAGTCGAACTCAAACCCTATCTAGGATCGAGTCGCGAATAAGGCTAAGAGCCGTGTATTGCATTCGCCCCCTGACAAGGGTCACAGAAGGCACGACATCAGTTGGACAAGGAGAACATATGATTTCAAGTGCGGGGCACTCTCATGAGATTGGATGTAGACATGTGCGTCGCACGATGGCAATCCTACAAGGGGATCAGGCCTTGTATGGGTGTATATACCTTATGTCCAAGTCTGGTAGACTGTGCCGCCATTCGGCGGTGCATGTTGGAGCCGTACAGTGCCATTGTCATTGACTCGGTCTATAGTGTAAGGACCTTTGTACTTTGGCTGACCGTACTTGCGGTGCTGATACTGTTGAATCATCACGGATCGTTGACATTGTATTGATGAGGGACACGCGTCGCGTTCTCCCTATCGTTGTTCTGTTGGATTGAGTCGTGGCGACGTTCCTTGATGTACTCCAGTTTGCTTCGAAACGGACGTTGTGAATCCGTCACGGTTGAACACGAGCTGTGCAGGCTTGCACGAAGGTGTATGAATCGTGGCTTCATTTCAAGCGAACCGCCGTGAGACTCCATCCAGGATCCTTCACGAGGTCGTCTTGGCACTTGATGTTTGGACAGCGATCAAGTTGCGTAGTGTTGATGAGCACGCTCACCATGAGTGGCTTGAGGGTTGCGCGTGTGATGAACTGCGACGAAGTCATTTCATCCCGGAGGTTTTCTCGACCTCTGCGCGGGTACACGTTCTCTTCCATGAAACCTCAGCCGGCCATGGATACCGAGTAAGCCACGTTTGTTCTAGGATGATGGCTACTTCGTCTGCTGCCTTGGAGCAGATCTCTGCAATCTCGAACATCCGGTTACGGGATCAATCATTGTCAAGCAATTAAGTGTACAGGAATTCTTTTTCTTTGGATCCCCGACGTTGTAGGACCTATCAGGTCAATGCATAGTCTTTCCCAAGGGATCTCCTCGCAAGTCTTTGGAGGCATCAATCCCAGCTTACGCGTCTTGGGTTTGTTCATCTGCAGCTTTGGCAACGCTGACCTACGGCTGCACAGTCTTCGCAGTCCTTTCCAGGTGTAGTGTGGCTGATGGTTAGTTCTGTGCGAGTCTCGCCAGGATGCATCAGCACACCATGGTACCATTCGACTAGCTTCTTCTGCATTTTTAGGTACGACGATTTACTGTCTTAACTACTAAGTCGTAGACTTATCCCCTCTGGGGAAAGATTGTTCTTGTGTTCGTTTGGCTTGTCCCTGAGGAGTTTTCTGATATCGTGTCGGTCTTTCTGACGATGTTCGATCTGGGGAACGAGAGAGGGAACTCGCTAGGGAAGTCCTCTTCCTGCAGCCATGAGCTCAGCGATCTCGCTGGCGTCCATTTGTTCTGAAGAAACGTCGTTGTTGAGATGTTAAGTCTCGACAACGCATCAGCGACGATGTTTGTTCGCCCTTGATGTACCGTAGTTCAGGGCCGTATTCTTCCAGAAATAGGCGCATCGCATTACGCGATCGGTATTGAAGTTCTTACATGTAAGATTCTGTGGTCCTATGAAACAATCTTCTGTCCAGAAAAATGTTACGGAACTCTTTTAGAGTTTCTACGATACTGAGAAGTTCCTTCTCGGTAACGTGTAACGGTCTGAGCAGGGTTGAGCTTCCGCTGTAGAACGCGATAGGTTTTCCCTCTGGGAAATTACTGCACCTAGTTGAGTATCACTCGCATCCGGTGGATAACGAATGTATCGTTGAAGTCAGGGGAAGCGACAAGGTTTCTTTGCTGATGATCTTCTTCATCTGGCTAAAGGCCTTGTTCGTGTTCGGCTTCCCATTTCCACTTCGTTGTTTTGGAAGTAACAAGCGAGTGGGGCCAGTACATGTGATCGTCTAATCCACATGTCTCGATAGTAGTTCACTAGTTCAATGAATCTACGGAGTTCTTTTCTGTTGGTAGGAGGAGCGATATTCTTGATCGCGTCTATTTTCTTGGTTATAGGTTGGATCCCTTCTCGAGTAATCCAGTAACCTAAGGATTCAAAGTTCTCCTCTTGCGAAGAAGACTTGGTAGCATTGATCTTAAGTCCGGCTTCTCGAAGTTCGGAGAACTTCATCCAACTTTTCAACGTGATCTGCCAGACGCGTTAGTTAGGATGAGTAGATCATCAATGTATGCACGGACGTATTCTAGTCGTGCATTAGTGTTCCCATTTTCCTTGGAAGATGTCGGGACTATTACATAGGCCCATTGGCAACCTCTGTACTCGTCTTTCCCCACGGGAGTAGATGGTACAGAGTTGCTTCGAGTGAGTGGACAGCTCGATGTGATAGTATCCCATGTTAGGTCTAGGACTAGTAGCGTACTTGAATCCATCTAGATTCAAGAGCATTGTCCTGTATTTTTGGTACAGGATAAGGCTTCCGCTTATCCTTTTGTTCAGTTCCCGGAAATCAGAGATGAATCGTACAGATCATCTTTCTTGGGAATGATAAAAGTTTGTTCCGCCCACTCGGAACGGTTCACCTCTTGAGTACCTCTGCCTCGCAGAGACGTTAACCTCCATCTTAAGAGTGTGGTATGGACACGTGGAATAGGATAAGCCCTGGCATGATAGGGTTTAGCATCAGGGAGAAGTTTCACTTCGTAGTCGTCCATCTGCCACTTTTCCAAAGTACCATCGAATAGGTCAGAGTACTTCGTCAGTAGGAATGAGCTGTTCCTCTCTTCCTTGCTTAACTGATCTTGACTTTGGCAAACCTGCCTTAAGTCAGCTTGTTCGTATTTCGCATCAAGAAACTTCTTGAGACGATCTGCACTGTCCAACAGCAGTAGGATCAGGAATGAGAAGTTCTCTTCTTCGTTGGTGTCGCTGTCTTTCATAGAAATAGATGCGCCGTCCCACTCCACTGACATGTGTAGTGAAATCGAACTTGAATCCTAAGTCAGAGAGAATGTCTCGACTATGATCATGTCATACGCCCCCAAGCTCTTGGTGACGTGTAAAACCCACTCGATAATTCTATCTCGTGGAATTCAGGAATCATGAATGCACCTTTGCACTTCGTCTGGTGTTTAATTCTCCTGCAGGGGTAGTCCACATGTTTGGACGCCCCCAAGATCTTCATGCTAATTTCTTAGCATGAGGTTGAGCAAACAAGGTTCCGGATGCTCCTGTATCCAGTAAGCAATGGAGTGTAACGGGTTTTGGTTTCCCTTTTTCTCGCTTTTAAATCTAACATAGACGATGGGTTTGAGGTCTCTGTCTTGCGACGTTTACGAGGTGGTTGGTCACGGACGAGGTTAACGATTCAAATAGATCATCAGAGTCTAAGTTGAGCAGCTTCTAGCATCATCTAATTTGCCGTAGTGTTCATCAGTTGCAAACAATTCTTTGTTTACTAGTTAGTGAGATATCTTCATCACTTTGGTATGAGAAATCGGAACATGGTTCCGTGAGTCATCATCCTGGCCTAATCCTCAGAATAGAGATTTCTCCATCCAAGTGATTGAAATTGATAGAGGAGTTGTCCTCATTGTCAGAGTCTTCTGATTTGCGCTTGGCAACATGGTTGCGAAGTTTGCAAGTGGTTGCACGAGTATCGTCGATCTCGTTTTCTTCGTCATGTCGACGAGAGGAAGAATGGGTTTGTCACGCAACTGTTTCTCGAAGTTGCGGAACGTATGCTTTCCTTGAGCCATCTTCATGGTGAAGGAATAGGTTGAGGGTAGCTGAAAGCTATTGTGTTTGTTAACCAAAATGCACTACGCTAAAGCTAGTGTAAAGATCTTTCGAGTGTTTTGAGTTTGAGAGAATGAAAGTTATGAGAGGATTAGAAAGCTATGAAAACTAATCAACGAGAGAGATCACAATCAAGGGATCGTAGATCTGAACTCCCACGGGAGACTGTAAAGTGTGATAGAGTAGGTTGTGGTAGTAATCCTACTCGTTCCACGATCCAAAAACGGAACGCGTGGAAGATTCGTCTAGCTTTTATCTAGTAGCGTGGAATCTCTCCACGCCAGCTAAATATCTAGCGCGATGTTTCACCATCGACCTAGTATGACTAGCGGTCATGAGAACCCTGTCTCAATGACTATTCACGAGAGACTCAGTCATGAGTCGAACTCAAACCCTATCTAGGATCGAGTCGCGAATAAGGCTAAGAGCCGTGTATTGCACTGGCTACATTGGCTGTTGTGCATTCGTCATAAAGGAGTGTACGGGTAGGGAGCAAAGTGGCAGTGAGAAGCTGGAGACGAGCGCTGAAAAAAACCGAATAAGTATCCTAGGATGGTGCTTTTAAACCAGCTAAAGCTATTTACATGCTTCCTAGTAGGGGGATCTGCTTCTACCAGGAAAAACTCTAAAGCTAGCAAAAGCTATATAACTAGTATTCTACCTAGCTTAGGGTATCTGCTTTTAGCTTGCTATAGGAATCTGCTTCTAGCTAGGGGATCTGCTTCTACCTATTTAAGCGCAAGTTAAGCATTAGCTAAGCACTACAGGTATCTGCTTCTAGCTAGCTATCTAGCTAATAGGGGTATCTGCTTCTCTTTCTGCCGAGGTTACACAGCTCCGCTGGCTTAATCTTACGTCCAAGGTGGTGGTGACGTGGTGATCTTTCCTCCTTACCAAGTCTGGGCTTCGGGGTCTATCCGTTAAATACCGTCGGTGGTAGTCCTGCCACGTTTTTTTTTATTGGGGAAGTTTGGTCTGTTCCAACATGAGCTGCTGCAATCGATAAGCACTCGGACTCAGACTCTTTGCCGTATGGAAAAGTTGCATTTCTGGAGTGGATCTCAAACCTCTGCTGCTGGTAATAAGCCAATCGATAGACAGCCAAGAAGCAAAAGTTCCCAAGGCTCACTATTATTCCAATTTTGATACTGCGTATACAAGTTTCACGCTTTCGAACTGCGCTCCATCCTCATGCTTCGATCGCTGTCCTCTCATTGTTGTCTTCTTCTGATCCCGTTGGTCTTGAACAAAAAGCAAACGACCACACTGACTCGTAGAGCCAAGAAGTTAGGAAAATCGAGACGCTTTTGGCCGTCGGACCGCCCAGCCTGAAGCATGAGCAACAAACCACCTCCCAACAACAACGAACCTTCTCCAAAAAAGAAAATCACCAAAGCTTCTCTGATGAACAATGAAACCGAGAGTCCTCCGCTGAAGCTGTTCGATGATGCCCCTGGTGATTGTGGAACTGAGGGTGATGGAAATGGAGACCTCCCTCCAGAAACTTTGGGCAGTGGTCAACAGCCATTGGCTCCCGGCAGTGCACTGGGATCAACCGGAGATTCTATGCAGACAAACACAACTACATGTACATGTACTCGTGCCGGCGGTCGAGTCATAACCACTGTGCTGACTAGTTCCAAGTCTCCTCCTGTCGCTACATTGAATAGTGGTCAACAACAAGTGATCGAGAAAAAGGTTCTTTCCACAGAATTGTCCTCAGGCACCCCTAAGCACGCCGGTGGCACTACAAAGATAGACAGCAGAGACGTAGACGACCGAAAACCAGCAGCCAAAGAGAGCCACCAGGTCCAAACAGATGACAAGAACAAACATGACAACAGCAAGAGTAATGATACGATCAACATGGATTCTGCTTCTACTGTGCTTGAAAACCTCGAAGCAAGGTTAAACAACCCTCAACAAAGTGGTCAGCTAAAGTTCCTGCCAAAGGAAAAACAGTCACACATCAAAGGAGATCTGGGAGAAAAGATTGCAGCAGACAGCAAAATACCAGCAACGCCAAGCTTCAAAGGAACAAGCCACGACAGTTCTACTTTTGCTGCTCTTTCTTCTGTGGAAGATCGACTGAACAACCCAGGACTTTCATTCTTTCCGTCAAAATCATCTGGACAACACTCAAGTGGAATCATTCCACCCACAGAGCAAGGACAAATGCCTATCACAATTCCTGTCATTGGAGCAAACGCTGGTACTACTTCAGGCCGTCCATCGCCGACGCTGACCCAACAGCACCAGCAGTTACCTCAACCTGGAGCATACAGCAATGTCCCAGGAGAGTCCATGACACGCACCCTTACTCTCAACTATGGCCTATTTGAGCCTGCCATTGATGATACTGCCACTGATGCCCCACATCCTGAACACGAACCAGCAGACCCAGCGTCGTCTAGTACTGTTGCAAACCAAGACTCACTGTTGCCTGCTGTGGAGGTTGACAATCATTTGCCACAGGCAAACTTGGTCATCGAAGATCCAGAAGAACGCATAAGGGCATTAGCAAATCCAGTCGATCTACAACAGGTTCAGCAGAGAGAACAACATAAGAGGAATCAGAAACAGATGTTTATTCTCTTCTTTGTCTTATTGTTAATTGCAGCAGCAGTCATTGTGGGAGCGGTGGCTGGAACCCAAAAGAAGGAACCAGAGGCGATTGTATCCCTATCAACAGATGCTCCGACAGTTTATGGCTTCATGGGACTAACTGGTGTTCGAGATGTGACTTTGCTGTCCTCCCTCGATTTGGGAATGAGTCAGTTGTCAGGCCAAATTACCTCGGAGCTTGGGCTCCTGACCTCATTGATAAGACTTTACCTTGATGAGAACCAGTGGACCGGTCAAATTCCTTCTGAGCTTGGGCTCCTGACCTCATTGCAATGGCTTGACCTTTCTGACAATCAGTTATCCGGTCAGATTCTTTCTGAGCTTGGGCTCCTGACCTCATTAGAATGGCTTGACCTTTCTGCCAATCAGCTATCTGGCCAGATCCCAACTGAAGTTGGTGCGATGACATCTTTGACATCTCTGGATCTTTACAACAACAGCCTGACAGGAACACTGCCCAGCCAACTGAACACATCTATGGGATTGTGTCTATACTATGGGAATCAGTTCCTGAGAACTGTCCCAGGGCATCTTTGTTCTTTTCTGTGGTGTGATTGTTCTCAAAATGAAGACTCCCCTGTTTCCACCTGTGGTGACCTCAATGAAGCCCCACATGATTGGCCTGGACGGTTTCCAACCACGGGTGCCGCTATCATGCTCAATATCCAAACCGATGATTATCCAGAAGAAACATCATGGGTTTGGCGTGCTTGGGGCACATTGGAAGCAGGAGGACCTCTTTCATTATCAAACCATCTTCACTCCTCTCTCTTCCCAGTGGACAATGACACAGCCTACAGATTGATTGTATCCGACAGTTATGGTGAAGGCTTGTATGTCCCTGGTTGGATCACCCTGACAGCTGCCAACGAAACAGTGTTGTTTTCACTACAGAGTGGTGAGAGGTTCTCTGATTTCACCGTTGACATTTTGGTTGGAGCTGATGGTTCTTTTGACGTTACCAAAAAAAACTGAACATCTATTAACGGATTCAGACGAGATGTGCTTGAGGACGACTCACGAGCCGAGGCCCGGGTATTTCTACGTCCCTGGTTGGATTACTCTGATGGCAGAAAACAAAACGGTGTTGTATTCCTATGTCAGTACGGATGATCTCTTATTTACCAGTGAGAGTGACTTCTCTGAAATCGTCATTGACATCATTGTTGGAGCTGATGGTTCTTTTGGTGTCACCAATTCTACTTTTCCTTCGGGACTGAAACGGAAAAGCGCTACCGCGATGCGTTATAGCACAGTAGCTGTCCCAGATATCATAAGCAAACCTCCACAACACTACAAAACCATAGCACCATCACTATCAGTTATAGAACTTCCTATAGCTATTTGAAATCATCCAACAAAGAATCTACTGCATGAAGAACATCATCTTCTTTCCCCACCACTCGATTTGAGTCACGAAACGTCATCTGCTCCTCTACAAAACCATTTGAAATCCCTCCAAGCACCAGCAATCAACAGTTTACCTCCACTATCAAGACCAAAGAGCGAAAGCTCTTCACCTGCCAACAAAGATCTCAAAAAGCAGCCGGAAAAGCACCATTGTCATCGTCATCGTCTTCGTTGGCGATGACCTTTGCTGCTTGTCCCGGCAACCCTAACCTTAAACCAAAAACCACAATGACACACCCTCCACCTTAAGATTGTATCTGCAGATCCCCCCACCAACACAAACAACATCAACAGCCAGCAACCGACCAGCACCACACAGAACCCAACAACTCCCCAATCCCTATGATATCACCTCACCTTGTACAAATCCCAAAATCTCCCCCATCTTCGTTACATATTTGTCAGTTCCAACGAGAATTTCCCCAGAGGTTTTTGTCTCGAACCCAAAGTCGCAAAGTGGCCCATGTATATTATTGTTACACATTTGTCAGTTCAGAACGTCTACAGCTATCTAAGCAATCCGCGTCAGAGAGATGAAGAAGATGCCTTGTTTCAACCTCCTACCTCCAACTTCTATCATTTCAAGTTCCCTTGTGTTCATGAAAGACCGCCACCTTTCAACACTTAGAATGAGCATTCACTACGGTTCCAGTGGTGTAGCCATGGAGTTTACTCATTTAGATCGCATAAAGCAGTTGCACACCCTCCGGGGCGCGTGTGGCCGGTGAGCGGACTTGACTGTGGGAAATACCCGGGCCTCGGCTCGTGGGTTGTCCTCAAGCACAGCTTGTCTGAATCCGTTATTAGACTTTGATTTTTTTTTTTGACGTTACCAATTCTATGGCATGATGATGGTTACACTTTATGAGTTCTACCTTTTTATGAATTCCATGTTGCTGCATATCATATCATATTATATATAAACAACTAACTGTAAATACAATGCAAATTGTTTCATTTGTGATTGGGCATACTGTCTTGTTGTTGCTATAGTCTAGCTATAGATAGGTAGTACTGTAGCTATAGCTAGCTAGCTAGCTAGCTAGCTAGAACTGTTCCTTGGCTAATTTCGCGTTGGAACAACGGTATGGTGTTTGCGGAAGCCAGTGAGGTTGTGACAACATGCCATGGCTGCTAAGGTGTAACGGTAGGTTCCGCGGTTCCTGGAGGGTCAGTGCAGTCATCGGACTCTGGATCGCTCATCCTCACATCATCATTCAATCCATCGATCCTTCCCTTCATTGCTTGAGTGAGTGATAGTCCGTCCTCCCAGTACCATCTATCATACCAGACAAGCTAGTACTAGTACTTACTTGCAAGCCCAAGATGAGACGGTCTCCGCAACTGAGCACTCCCTCTAGCAGCAACAACAGCAGCAGATCCAAATCTGGCAATGCTGGTAGCAATGCCGCTATTACTAGTAGTAATGCTAGTAGTAAATACCACAAGAGACGACGCAGTGGTGGTTGGCTGTTGAAGCTGTGGGGAAGTTTGATGTTTGTGGGAGGATCCGTTTGGATTTCAGTCCATTTCTGGGGGGCTTCTTCTCCTTCATCATCTATTACTGCTACTACCAGCAATAGCAATAGCAAACAAAGAAGAGACGAAGAAGCTCTGATTGCTCCTCCTTTTGCTCTTTCCAAAAAAGTCAATGACAATACAAAGCAAGGTCTTCAACAACAAAAATGGTCGCAAGCCATGCAACACAAACACAAAAATAACAAGAAGAATCAAACCAAGACTGGTGCTGGTGACAAAAATAATAATAATAATGATGTGACGCACAATTGGATGCAAAAATGGGGCGGCAAAGGTCACAAACTCCATCAAAAAATGATCAAAACATTTCAGGAAGGGCAGAAAAAAAATCAGACACTCCTCAAATCATCAGCAGCAGCATCAGCAGCATCAGCAGCATTATTGCCCAGAAGAAAAGATCCATTTGTTCATCATCCAGGGCAGCAACCTAATATTGCACAAGCACAACTACTGAAACCAGAGGAAATCTTATTGACAGAATTGGAACAACCTCCCCATAAAACTATTCCAGAAAAGTCAGAAGAAAAGTCTGCTTCTGACTATTGGAGCAAACCTTCTTCTTCTCCACCTACAGAAAAGAAGAATCAACAATCCACACAACCACTATTATTGTATCCCCCCTCCAATAATAATGGCACGGCCCCGTTTGCATATGCCTTTTATCTGGGAGGCATTCCTTCGCAAACCAAATCTTGGACTGCCACCATGCGAAAAAGCAACGCGCCAAAAAAACCAAACAAGGACGATTATCGAGGACTCCTCTACAATATTCTCGTCAGTGTCAAATTGTTACGGGATGCCGGCAGTCGTGCCGATTTTGTACTCCTCGTCAATATGGTCGACGCTCACACCGAGTTGCCTTTGACGGATGTACGCTATCTACAAGCATTGGGCATTCGCATCTTCTACACTCCTTCGACCCCCGACATTACCAATGAAATCATGACGGTGCCGTTTGAAAAATTTCGAATCCTCGATTTGGTTCAGTACCAACGCATTTTGTTTCTCGATGCCGATATTACACCCCGGTGCAATTTGGATTATTTGATGGAATTGAGTTTGCGCTCTGGCGACGACAGCAATATATTGCAAGAAAACATGTTGTTGAGTATGGGAAATACACCTGCTACGGGTCGCATTTTCATGGTGACACCACGACCGGGTGATTTCTATCAATTCGTCGATCTCTTGCCCATACGGACACGGGATGCCGGGATTCGCATGACTTGGAATCCCAAAGGAGGATGGGGATTTCGACCCACGCATTTTCAAACACTCGAGGCGCCCACGAGCATTCAACACGGCTATGTCTTTGAAGGAGGCAATTCCGACCAGGGCATGTTGTACGAATGGATCAAATATCAAGTTCCGTTTCGACATTCAAATAGTGGTGTCAGTATTGTGATTGGACCCAACATTCAAAATTGGAACATGGCCACGACACTACCGGACGATCGAACGTCCTACGAAGTGTGGGACGGAACTGCCAAGGAAGACAATCAAAAACAGTATCTGATACACAAAGCCGTCGAACCCAATGCGCTTTTGGCACATTCCTGTTTGCCTTTAGCAGAAGCACAACAATTGGCACAACTCGAACCGGATCGCCCGACGATTCATCCACAAGGAGTCGCACCGTATCAAGATTTTGAATTGTGGACGTACGGAAAGAGTGGAACGTATCCCTGGAATCGACCCATGGCACCCACTGACACGTCCGACGACAGTATTCGTCACGAACGATGGTTTCACATTTTGAAACAATTGGATGCATTGCTCGACATGAATCTTGGATTGAGTAGTGATAGTGGTAGTGATAGTGGTAGTGATAGTCAGACGTCGGTGCAACGGCGATTGGAAGAAGAAGGAGAAGACGAAATGGAGGAGGAAGGTGCAGGAGGAGAAGAAGGTGAAGAAGAGGGCGAAACTGAGGAGGAAGGTGAAGAAGTGGAGGAAGGTGAAGAAAAGGGAGATGGCGAAACGGAGGAGGAAGGTGAAGGGGGAGAAGAAGGTGAAGCAGAGGAAGAGGAGGCCGAAACTGAGGAAGAGGCAAACAACGAAGACGAGGCAAACAACGAAGACGAGGCAAACGACGAGGACCAGGACGGAGGTGAGGAGGGGGAAGAGGAAGAGGCAAACAACGAAGACGAGACAGATGATCAAGGGGGCGAAGAAGATACGGACGGTGATGATGTTGAAGGCGAAGAGACGGGCAACAATCGAGAGGATGTAGATGGGGGAGATGACGGTGGCGAAGGAGAAGAGACGGACGAAGAAAACAATCAAGAAGATGAGACTGGGGAGGACAACGGGCAAGGAGATGAAGAGGGCGACACCGACGAAACCCAAGACCTTACGGAGGAGGAGGAGAAAACAGCCGACAATGACGCAGAAAACGATGTCAATGGTGAAACCGACGCCGACAATACCCAAAACGTCCTAGCCGAGAAACCCAACGATGTCAAGGATCCTCCATCCAACCCGAAATCCAAGAAGCGTGCGAAGAAAGGCAAGAAGAAACAGAAGGAGAAGAAAAACAAAAAGAATAAGAAGGACAAGAAGAAGAACGATGCCAAGGGGAAGAAGAAGAAGGGCAAGCCTACCCGGCCTCCCGTCGAACACAACTGGCGCTACATTCCAACCGTGCCAATGCTACGGTTAGTCCCCATGTGGAGCGAAGGTGTCAAAGCGCTTCGACAATGGGCCTACCGAATTGTGGATACTTCCCTTGGCTACATTTCCTGGGAACCGCCAACCTTACCAGAATCGGTTCTTCTGAAAACGGCCGACAAGGATTTGAGGCAAAAGTGTCAATGCCCCAACACCATACAGCTCGACCCTTGCTCCCGAAACGAGGAGTCTATGGAGGACTGGTTGAGTCGCCGAATCCCGTACTATCTGTCGAAGCAAAGACCGCTTTGTCCACGGGCTGCAAAGCACACGATGCATGTTGTTATGCCGTTTCATGACTTGGAACGAGCAGTTCTCGAGAGCACAGTGTGTTCCATTGCCTGTCAAGACTACCCGCCCGAAAAGATGTCTATTCTTCTCTACGATGACGGTTCTGCAGACCCCAAGGCGATGGAGGAGTTCTGCATGGATCATCCAATCGTCGAATTCGAGCCTCTTGACATCAAGGGCGCTGCCAAGGACCCAGCCGCAGAAGAAACCCTCAATTCACATGCTTGGAATCACATAGACAGCACCATCACGACAGCCGGCAACGAAGGCGTGACCACACGTTGCGTCCGTTCCAAGAAGCACGAAGGGTCTAGCGGAGCTGCCTTTTGGTCGCTTCGAATGGTCGAACGCTTGGCGCAGCCAAATGATGTTGTAGTCGTGATCTCGGATGGCGAGTTCAACTCTCAGAATGCATTGGAAATCATTAATGATGTGCACGTACAAGGCGGCGGATGGGTGGGATATCTGCCGTGGCCAAAGACAAAAGACGGCAGTGTCCTGTTGGAGTTGTCCACCGACCCGGTGGCATCGTTCCGACCCAAAAGACGTCTTAAGCCGTGGTGGCGTTTCCAGTATCCCTTTACGTTCAAAGCCCATCTTTTGAGCAGCGTGACACTGAAGGATTTCACCTACAAAGGGAAAAAGTTTCTGGCTGACAAGGCCAATATCGGATACATGATCCGAATGCTAGAGGTTGCGGGACGTGATCGTATTGGTTCGTTCAAAAGACAAATATTTGATAAGAGGATACCGTCTTCAGTGGGCACTGCAGGGGATGCAGACATCGTCCAAGAGCAGCTTTCATCCATTGATGCGCTTTCATCGTCGAGTGCAAAAAATGCACCGATTCATGTGGTCATGATGTGCTCTGAAAATATGGACATTTTCACAGAGCAATTGACCAAGTTGCAGGCCCAAACCATTGCGAGGAAGCGTTGGATCAATTTCCATGTGCTCTGTGGTCAATCAAATTTCAAGGCTGATAATGAACAAACTGTGGACGCATTTAAATCTCAACAGAAGACGCCATCATTTCTGGAGGGACGAAAACCTATCAAGGTCACCGTGGTGGACTCTAGTGTCGGCGGAACTTCGGGCGACTTTGAGAGATTGCAGTACGTCCACCAGCTCCGTCAGAGGGTCCCCCTGGAGTATGTTGTGTTACTGGATAGTGATCAGTACATTCATGACAACTTTTTGACGGGCATGCTGAAGAATCACAATCCGACGAGCATCACGTCAATCTACGGAAGGTCCTTCTCGCCCAGGGATCGTCCATTTCATGTGTCGTTTAACGCAACGCAGATACGCCTTTCGCATCTCTTGGAGAAAGGAATGCCCACATTGTGGTCGTTTGTGTACGTCAATCTTGGTGGTGCTGTTTTTGATGCGAATCTCTGGTTACTTGACAAGCAGCTGCTGCGTCCAGGCCGTGATTTGACCGAGCTCGCAGATGCCTCAGACGTGTGGGTATCCTTTGTGATGGATGGATTGCTCGGATGGAACATGAACCGATATTCGCCGAATCAGCTCTCGTTGTTCTCCATACCGTGGCTGGATAATAAGGAGTATAGGCTAAAGGTGAACGGTGAGATTACAAAGCCAGAAGCAGAACGGATAAGAAAACTCAACAACAAGGCTCCACCTGACGGAACAAAGGAACGGAAGATGATGCAGGCATTTGAGCGTCTGCAGAAGACTTACCAGTGGAACGTCGTGCGTCGCCCAAGAGCAACATACAGGCTTCCCGATATTGAGCCGGTGCCAATTGCCAAGAACAAGGCTCATGATCACAGGGGCCAAACGACGACTGACATGACGACGCCTGCTTACAACAACAACAACAACAACAACAACAACAACAAGAAAGGGAACACCAAGCGCGCGTTTGTCTGCGTGACAGGACAGTTCGACCGATTCGAGTTACGAAGCAAGATTGACAAGTTGATGGTCCCAATCCAAAAGGCCGGCTACTCGATAGATGTAGCACTTGTGGTATCCAATGGGACAGCGGCATTTACCAATTTGCGGTCCAAGAGGAATTCCACAACGCCATTCTATACAAGCTGGGATCGAGCTGTCAACGACTTGCGAAAGGCAAATGTCAATGTTGTTTCCAACGACGGTGCCTACGAGAAATTAGAAGACCCTTTTGTTCCTCAAAGCTATGTCAAGTTGCTCGAATTTGCCCAAAATAAACGAACGTACGAGGAGCAGGAAGAACGTGCCAAGAACCACGCACGAATCTTTGACTCGTATCGACGCTGTCTCGAGTACGCGGATAAAGAAACGGAGAGAGTCACGGGGAACAAATTGAATCCTTACTATTATGATGTCTACGTTCGCATTCGAGACGATATTGGTTTGCGACGTAACTACGACGAAAAGGCCATGGCCGATGCCTTTCCTCCTCCACCGAATAGTCTGATTGTGACTCCCTGTCGCAGTTGGAAAGGAATGAACGACCGATTTGCCGTGATTTCTCCCGATATTGCCCGCACGTACTTTCAACGACCCGCGGAATACTTTTTTGGTGACACTCGGTTCATCTACGACAATGGAGCCGTTAGCAATCCGGAAACCATGCTGTTGTACACGTATACGACTGCCAAAATTCATGTGTTGGGGCACCGGACACTGTATGGATTGTGCCGCATGTACAAACTGGAGGCGTCCGGAACGCCCCGGTTCTTGCGAGATGACGTAAAACAGGACAAGTGTCCCGAGCCTGATCCCTATCGACCGAGATTGTATCAACTGTATGGCTGGTCGCTGTAATAAATAAATAATGGCTGAGCCAAAGAAGTGGTGCAAGTATGATAGAATGGGTGCATAGTTTGTGTTTAGAAGTTAGGTTAGTTACTATTACTAAGATAGCTTTGGCTTATTATAGTTAGAATGGTAGAAACGGTAGCATTTTGTTCTTGTTGTTGTTGTTTGTCTGTTTGTTGTTGTTATTGGTCACACGTGGCGGCAACAACTGTTTTCTCATGCAAACAATGGTGGTGCGGGTACTTTCGAGACTTCCCGTTTTGGTCGGCAACAGTGTTTTTGCGGTTTCATCTTTCCACAATGTCTTGTATCCCAACTTTTGGTATAGTCGGACGGCCGGTGTATTTCGTTGTTCCACATACAAGAAACATTCATCGTATCCCCATTCGTCTTGTTGACATGCCTCTTCTACCGCTGCCACTAATTGTTCGGCAATCCCCTGGCGTCTGTAGTGCCGTGACACGACCAGGTTGCTCATGACGGGGGCATATTTCATTTTGGTGTCCCATCGTCCCGTGGGTTTTGCGGGAATATTAATGGCATTCTTAATAATAATATTGTCGGGCAAGATCATGGCAAGTAGTGGTAGTAATAATGGTTGTTTGGGTGCTTCTTCTTCGGCAAAGATGGTGACGGCGTCCACTTGTACTCCTGCACATCCAATAATGTTGTTTTGTTGTTGTTTAGTATCTTTGCAAAGTACCAATTGGGAGGCGAGTGCTGTTGTTGAGTACCTTCGTTTGAATTCAACGTATTGTTGTGCTTGCAGTGTTTTATTTTGTGATTCCGTGAGTTCTTTTGCTCCACCTCCCACTTTTCCCCTCCAAAAGGAATCAACGAATAAATCTGTCACCAATCGTAATTCATCATCTTGACGACCTCGTTGTTGCTTGGGATTCCACGGTTGGACAGTGTATCGACCAGTCCTACCAGCAGTAAGGCGGCTCAAGAGACCAAAGGATGACACAGATGGGAGATAACAACAGAAGAAGAAAAAGAAGAAGACGAGTGCGGATAATGATTCAGATACCCGTTGTCGATGCATTGTTGCCAAGGTTAATCCACAAAATGAGAAATCAGCTTGGCTTGTCACTCCCTTCCCTCTTGTGAAAACGATCGATAGCTTACTAGTACTGTGTGTGCGGTTAGAGGGAACTGTGGGGGGAATGGGACGCCAGAGAACCATGCAGTGCAATGGGCCAGAACGCCTCCCTTTTATTGTGAAGCTGGTTGCAGTCCATTGCCACCGATCGATTTTCGTCCAACTTGAAGCATGCGGGTGAATTGCGTCAGTGAACTGCAAGGCTGAGTCACTCACTGAGTCAGTCAGCTGGTCAATAATAAGCCAGCGGCGCTGTGATAGCTCGCAGAAAGCTGTCATTCCCTCAATTGTAAACTTCTTTTTTAAAAGCTATCCCTAGCTAACGACCACACTCGAATGCGTCGCGTGTTGCCGCTAATACATAATTTCCAGCTGTCATTCCCTTATTGTAACTCTAGCTAGCTAGATAGCCTTTACAGCTCCTGCTGGATTATTGTGTTTTTTGTGCTGAGTGCACTAATAACCTGATGATGGTGGAGGGGCAGAAGGTGTGACTTCCAAAAAGAAATTAAGCCAGCAGAGGTTTCAGTGTGGAAGAAGAGACCCCTATTATAGCTCAAAGCAGAGACACCCCAGCTAGCCAAAAGCATAGACACCCTAGCTATTATAGCCAGAGGCAGAGATACCCGGCTAGTGAGAAGCAGAGACGTCGATTCTGCAGGGCAATCGTTGTTTGGTACATGTACGATACAAATATTCAACATGGAATTCATAAAGAAGGAAAATTCATACAGTAAAACCATCATGCAGTAGAATAGGTGACACCAAGAGAACCATCAGCTCCAACAATGACGTCAATGACGATTTCAGAGAAGTCACTCTCACTGGTAAATAAGAGATCATCCATACTGACATAGGAATACAACACCGTTCTGTTTTCTGCTGTCAGAGTAAGCCAACCAGGGACATAGAATCCATCACCAAAACTGTCAGATACAACCACTCTGTAGCTGTTGTTGGGGCTGACTGAGAAGAGCCAGGAGTAAAGATGGGTATGAGATGCCAGCGGACCACCTGACTCTACAGTGTCCCAAACACCAGTCCCGTTGTATGTTTCTTGCTGTTGCCAAGCCCAAGATGTTTCCTGTGGATCTTTATCAGTATGGATGTTCAGGATTACAGATCCAGGAATGGTTGGAAACCGTCCAGACCAATCCTGTGGTGGAGCTTCTTCGAGGTCAGCACAGGTGGTAACAGAAGGAGTTTCATTTAGGGAACAATAACACCATAGAAAAGAACAAAGATGCTCTGGCACAGTTCCCGAGAAATGATTCCCATAGAGAGTCAACCTCATGGAGCTTTCCAGTTGGTCAGGAAGTGTTCCTGTCAAGCTGTTGTTGTGTAGATACAGTCGTGTCAATGATGTCATCATGCCAATTTCAGTTGGGATTGTACCGGTGAACTGATTCTCAGATAAGATAAGTGAAAATAATGAGGTCATGAGCCCAAGCTCAGATGGAATTTGACCAGT